GACTCGCCAGAGAATTGTCTCAGTGCTTTATCTCGTTTGACTCGCCAGGGTATTGTCTCAGTGCTGTATCTTGTTTGACTCGCCTGAGGATTGACTCATTGCTTTATCTTGTTTGACTCGCCAGAGGATTGTTTGAGTGCTTTATTTCGTTTGACTCGCCAGATGATTGTTTGAGTGGTTTATCTTGTTTGACTCGCCAGAGGATTGTCTGAGTGCTTTATCACGTTTGAATCGCCAGAGGATTGTTTGAGTTCTTTATCTCGTGTGACTCGCCAGAGGATTGTCTGAGTGCTTTAGCTCGTTTGACTCTCCAGAGGATTGTTTGAGTTTCGAATCTTGTTTGACTCGCCAGAGCATTGTCTGAGTGCTTTATCTCGTTTGACTCGCCAGAGGATTGTATGAGTGATTTATCTCGTTTGACTCGCTAGAGGATTGTCTGAGTACTTTATCTCGTTTGACTCGTCAGAGGATTGTCTCAGTGCTTTATCTTTTTTTGGCTCGCAAGAGGATTGTTTGAGTGCTGTCTCTTGATTGACTCACCAGAGGATTGTCTAAGTACTTAAACTTGTTTGACTCGACAGTGGATTGTCGGAGTGCTTTATCTTGTTTGACTCGCTAGAGGATTGTTTGAGTGCTTTATCTCGTTTGACTCGTCAGATGATTGTCTCAGTGCTTTATCTTGTTTGACTTGCCATAGGATTGTCTGAGTGCTTTATCGTTTGACTCGCCAGAGGACTGTCTGAGTGCTTTATCTTGTTTGACTCGCCAGAGGATTATTTGAGTGCTTTATCTCGTTTGACTCGCTAGAGGATTGTTTAAGATTTTTTTTATCTCGTTTGACTCGCCATACGATTGTCTGAGTGCTTTATTTTGTTTGACTCGACAGATGATTGTTTGGATGCTTTATCTTGTTTGACTCGCCAGAGGATTGTCTGAGTGCTTTATCTTGTTTGATTCGACAGAGGATTGTTTGAGTGTTTTATCTTGTTTGAATCGCCAGAGGATTGTTTTTCTGCTTTATCTAATTTGACTCGCCAGAGGATTGTTTGAGTGCTTTAACTTTTTTGAATCGCCAGAGGATTGTTTGAGTGCTTTCTCTTGTTTGACTTGCCAGAGGATGGTCTCAGTGCTTAATCTTCTTTGACTCGCCAGAGGATGGTCTCAGTGCTTTATCCTGTTTTACTCGCCAGAGGATTGTCACAGTGCTTTATCTTGTTTGACTCGCCAGAGGATTGTTCGATTGCTTTATCTTGTTTGACTCGCCAGAGGATTGTTTGATTGCTTTATCTTGTTTTACTCGCCAGAGGATTGTTTGAGTGCTTTATCTTGTTTGACTCGCCAGAGGATTGTTTGATTGCTTTATCTTGTTTGACTCGCCAGAGGATTGTTTGAGTGCTTTATCTTGTTTGACTCGCCAGAGGATTGTCTCAGTGCTTTATCTCGTTTGGCTCGCCAGGGTTTTGTCTCAGTGCTGTATCTTGTTTGAATCGCCAGAGGATTGACTCATTGCTTTATCTTGTTTGACTCGCCAGAGGATTGTTTGAGTGCTTTATTTCGTTTGACTCGCCAGATGATTGTCTGAGTGCTTTATCACGTTTGACTCGCCAGAGGATTGTTTGAGTTCTTTATCTCGTGTGACTCGCCAGAGGATTGTCTGAGTGCTTTATCTCGTTTGACTCGCCAGATGATTGTGGCAGTGCTTTATCTTGTGTGACTCGCAAGAGGGTGGTTTGAGTGCTTTATCTTGTTTGACTCGCCAGAGGTTTGTTTGAGTTCTTTATCTTGTTTGAGTCGCCAGAGGATTGTTTGAGTGCTTTATCTTGTTTGACTTGCCAGAGGATTGTCTCAGTGCTTTATCTTGTTTGACTCGCCAGAGGATTGTTTGAATGCTTTATCTCGTTTGACTTTACAGAGGATTGTTTGAGTGCTTTATCTCGTTTGAATCGCCAGAGGATTGTCTCAGTGCTTTATCTTGTTTTACTCGCCAAAGGATTGTTTGAGTGCTTTATCTCGTTTGACTCGCCAGAGGATTGTCTCAGTGCTTTATCTTGTTTGACTCGCAAGAAGGTTTGTTTGGGTACTTTATATCGTTTGACTCGCCAGAGGATTGTCTGAGTGCTTTATCTCGTTTGACTCGCCAGAGGATTGTTTGAGTACTTTATCTCGTTTGACTCGCCAGAGGATTGTCTGAGTGCTTTATCTTGTTTGACTCGCCAGAGGATTATTTGAGTGCTTTATCTCGTTTGACTCGCTAGAGGATTGTTTAAGATTTTTTTTATCTCGTTTGACTCGCCATACGATTGTCTGAGTGCTTTATTTTGTTTGACTCGACAGATGATTGTTTGGATGCTTTATCTTGTTTGACTCGCCAGAGGATTGTCTGAGTGCTTTATCTTGTTTGATTCGACAGAGGATTGTTTGAGTGTTTTATCTTGTTTGAATCGCCAGAGGATTGTTTTTCTGCTTTATCTAATTTGACTCGCCAGAGGATTGTTTGAGTGCTTTATCTCGTTTGACTCGCCAGAGGATTGTTTGAGTACTTTATCTCGTTTGATTCGCCAGAGGATTGTCTGAGTGCTTTCTCTTGTTTGACTTGCCAGAGGATGGTCTCAGTGCTTAATCTTCTTTGACTCGCCAGAGGATGGTCTCAGTGCTTTATCCTGTTTTACTCGCCAGAGGATTGTCACAGTGCTTTATCTTGTTTGACTCGCCAAAGGATTGTTCGATTGCTTTATCTTGTTTGACTCGCCAGAGGATTGTTTGATTGCTGTATCTTGTTTGACTCGCCAGAGGATTGTTTGAGTGCTTTATCTTGTTTGACTCGCCAGAGGATTGTTTGATTGCTTTATCTTGTTTGACTCGCCAGAGGATTGTTTGAGTGCTTTATCTTGTTTGACTCGCCAGAGGATTGTCTCAGTGCTTTATCTCGTTTGGCTCGCCAGGGTTTTGTCTCAGTGCTGTATCTTGTTTGAATCGCCAGAGGATTGACTCATTGCTTTATCTTGTTTGACTCGCCAGAGGATTGTTTGAGTGCTTTATTTCGTTTGACTCGCCAGATGATTGTTTGAGTGGTTTATCTTGTTTGACTCGCCAGAGGATTGTCTGAGTGCTTTATCACGTTTGACTCGCCAGAGGATTGTTTGAGTTCTTTATCTCGTGTGACTCGCCAGAGGATTGTCTGAGTGCTTTATCTCGTTTGACTCGCCAGATGATTGTGGCAGTGCTTTATCTTGTGTGACTCGCAAGAGGGTGGTTTGAGTGCTTTATCTTGTTTGACTAGCCAGAGGTTTGTTTGAGTTCTTTATCTTGTTTGAGTCGCCAGAGGATTGTTTGAGTGCTTTATCTTGTTTGACTTGCCAGAGGATTGTCTCAGTGCTTTATCTTGTTTGACTCGCCAGAGGATTGTTTGAATGCTTTATCTCGTTTGACTTTACAGAGGATTGTTTGAGTGCTTTATCTCGTTTGAATTGCCAGAGGATTGTCTCAGTGCTTTATCTTGTTTTACTCGCCAAAGGATTGTTTGAGTGCTTTATCTCGTTTGACTCGCCAGAGGATTGTCTCAGTGCTTTATCTTGTTTGACTCGCAAGAAGGTTTGTTTGGGTACTTTATATCGTTTGACTCGCCAGAGGATTGTCTGAGTGCTTTATCTCGTTTGACTCGCCAGAGGATTGTTTGAGTACTTTATCTCGTTTGACTCGCCAGAGGATTGTCTCAGTGCTTTATCTTGTTTGACTCGCCAGAGGATTGTTTGAGTGCTTTATCTCGTTTGACTCGCAATAAGATCGCCTTGAACTGTTTTATCTGTTTACTATCATTAGAGTAGATGCGTTTAGACACCTGGTTTACTTTAGAAATTGTGACTTGGATGGAGAGTTGTTTCATTGGCACTCATACCACATCTTCTTATATCTATCTTCTTGGGTCTAACATGTGTTCAATGTTTCATAATTATAAACACATGAAACATTTCCACAGTCATATGAAATTCGAAACGGAAAGTCCTTCATCAAATGTCAAAATCAAAAGCTCAAACACATCAAATGAATGGAAAACAAATGTCATATTTCTGACGTGGTACAGGCATTTCCTTATGTAGAAAAAGCTGGATTTAACTTGGTTTTATAGCTAGTTAAACCTCTCACTTGTTATACATAACATATAGTTGTCATATAAATAGATTGGTGTTTTACGTGAGGCGCATATCATGATTTATTGAAATGTAGAGAGAGTTCTATTCACTCCAAATTTCATAAGACATTTGCAACAATTCTTCAAGGGGTCCGTCGGTGGTATGTTGTAACTATAAATTTTACCGTCGAAATTCCAATCCGTCATTCCAATAGATCCACTTTGCAGACCCTACCTTTTAGATTTGTAGATAAGTAATGAACATGCATGAAAGTAATGCCACTGACTGGCACACACCGGTCAGTTAATATAACGTTGTAGAATATCGACAAAGCAGACAGACAGGATAATAGTGAGACAATAATTAAAATAGCATATCCATCATACATATATTTGCTATAATGTGGTATACTTCCACCAAAGTTCAAATAAAGTAGATATAAGAATTATTGGCGACCGTATGAACTTAAACAATGAGAACAAACCTATAACGTATAGTCGGCTATAAAAAGCCCCGGCATGAAAAAATTGAGAAAACTAAAGGCATCATTTATAAGACAACATTTTACGAAAAAAACAATATGACAAACATGAACCAATGACAACAAATTAAGTACATGCTCCTGACTTGGGATAGACACATACAGAATGGCGAGGTTATACATGTTTGAAGGCGCCAGTCCTCCCCTTGGCAATTTGACATCCAATATAAAACATGAAGTATTAGCAGTTGTTCTATATTCGGCACTTTTCATTTCATTTATTTAGATTTTCATGTGTACTTGTAGTTACCTGAAACAACTGTTCTCTTAAATTTTATGGATTTGGCACTTTTCATCTCATTTATTTAGATTTTCATGTGTACTTGTAGTTACCTTAGACAGCTGGTCCTTAAAATTGCATGGAACTTCAACAGATCCATGGCCAAGTGAGTATATTTTAATTAACAATAATTAAGCGACTGAAATTAAAACTTTGAATGTTTACCTTTTTATTATGTTGACACAAGAGGGTTGCCTGAAAGGGGGTGGGAGCGGTTTTCACAGAAACAGATAGAAAGAATTTAGAATTATAAAAGTTCATTGTAATCCCTTGCAATGTTATTGAAAATAATGATTTTCATTGAAAGTACCCGAAACTACTGAGTAAAAAGGAGGTGGACAATACATTCAATGACTTGCCATTCGTAGTAGTGAAATGATAATAGCACGTTATAAATTAAGTGCATACCAGATACCAAAGAGTTATAGAAAATAATTATGAGTCCAAATAAAAACAAACAACCGCGTGGCATATGGAAATACAAACAACATGACATGACAAGACCATTTATTTACAACTAAGCCGCACGTAAGTTGCTACAAGAGCATAACAGGATAAATATTTTTTGACAAAAATTCAACAGTAAACTAAGGATTGAGTAACACGAACCCAACCAAACAGCGCGAATGAACTCCGGTGCTCCATGATGGTAAACAGTTTCTATTCACATTTGGCAATCGTTGGTTGTTTATGTATGTACAAATCCGCTGATAAATCGCATTCGGCATTTACAATATTTGACAACACGACAGTTGAAAAGATCACAATGACAATAACAAAAGGCACAAAAAAGTACTCATGGTTACTTAACGTTAAGATAAGACTGATTTACAATTTACACACATATTTTACTTATTAGTTTAAATTCTTCAAGGAAACCTAAAATAATCTTAAACTTTTATATATTGTCGAAGAATATAATAATGCTATTTAATATTACACCCGTAATTTGATATGTTGATTTTTTGACATGAAATACTTGCTTTATCGGGTTTTACTGTTAAAACATCCCAAGAGCTATATTGTTTGTTATTTATGTTAGGCCGTCGTTGTCATGGGATATTTTAGACTTTGTGAAATATTTTTGTAGGCGTGGAACAAACAACTTCACCCATTTCAACAGATATAACTACACACCTAGAAGTCACCACTAAAAACGTTTTAACAACAGAGATTTCAACGGAACCTATAACAGAAAGTACAACAATGATACCAGCAACAAAGATAACAACTGAATCTATAACACCAAGCACATCAAAAATACCAACTACAGAAATTAGATCTGAATCAACAACATCAATCACATCAAAGATATCAACAACAGCAGCTACAACTGAACGTATGGTTATTTGTATTTTTTGCCATCCTCGTCCATTGGTGTCTGGCTGATATTTGATTCAATTACAAGCATATCATGCTTTCTCACGTTATATAGATAGTAACAAAATGTACACCATATAGGATATTTGTCGCCGACGTTTTCAACTCCTGTATTTTTTTAAGCTATACATTACGAGTTTGCCCAGTAATCCTCAATACATTGTACTTGTGAAAAATAATATAGTTCAACATTAATTATATCTCAAAATTAAATAACTCAATTATATATAAGTTTGCTTTTATATCATTTACTAACCAGATGTTTACCTGTAAATTGTTTTCAAAAATATGTTCATTGTATAAACTAATATCATGCTCCTAGATTTCTTTGAAATTATATGAATTGTATTAATGAATTACGATATTGTAATTTATGATGCTTCCTATATTTCATACACTATTTAGTAATCTTGATACCTTGAAGCTGTATTGCTTTTGAAATAAGGAATATTATATATATGTATATATTTTATAGTCTGTCTTAGTGCTTTATATATGCCTTAAGTGTTATCAGTTAATGTAGTGCTGTTTTAAAACTATGTATTAACTTGCTGCATGCTTTGTTTTACATTCTATTTGTTATAATACATGTATATGTTATTGTATTTGGTGAAAAGCTAATCAGAGCTAATGTTCAAATGTTCGTCGACATGCAAATTCAAAATACGTACTTTCTTACTTACTTACTTACTTACTTAACATTTTGCAGTTTATATGGAAAATCCAATGACTCTTTTCCAGCGAAATAATCTAAAAATTTTCAATAATTAAAATCGTGTAAAAAAAACTCGGGTACCTATGTTATTTTCAATAATTATGATGTGAATTGCATTATCGATTGGGGAAGATCTGATATGAAAACATTGTTTAATTTTTATTTCAGCATCGAGTATCCATAAAAAATGAAGCATCTATCAGATAAGACCGATTTACAATTTACAAACATATTTTACTTAGTAGTATAAGTTCTTCAAGGAAACGTAAAAAAAATCTTAAGCTTTTATATATTGTTTAAACATACATTAATGCTTTACATTTTATATTAATCATGTTATTGCATATGTTAATTTATTGACATGAAATACTTGCTATATCCAGTCATCTCGAGAGCTTTATTGTTTGTTATTTATGGTATGCCGTCGTTGTCATGGGATATTTTAGACTTTGTGAAATATTTTTGTAGGCGTGGAACAAACAACTTCACCCATTTCAACAGATATAACTACACACCTAGAAGTCACCACTAAAAACGTTTTAACAACAGAGATTTCAACGGAACCTATAACAGAAAGTACAACAATGATACCAGCAACAAAGATAACAACTGAATCTATAACACCAAGCACATCAAAAATACCAACTACAGAAATTAGATCTGAATCAACAACATCAATCACATCAAAGATATCAACAACAGCAGCTACAACTGAACGTATGGTTATTTGTATTTTTTGCCATCCTCGTCCATTGGTGTCTGGCTGATATTTGATTCAATTACAAGCATATCATGCTTTCTCACGTTATATAGATAGTAACAAAATGTACACCATATAGGATATTTGTCGCCGACGTTTTCAACTCCTGTATTTTTTTTAGCTATACATTACGAGTTTGCCCAGTAATCCTCAATACATTGTACTTGTGAAAAATAATATAGTTCAACATTAATTATATCTCAAAATTAAATAACTCAATTATATATAAGTTTGCTTTTATATCATTTACTAACCAGATGTTTACCTGTAAATTGTTTTCAAAAATATGTTCATTGTATAAACTAATATCATGCTCCTAGATTTCTTTGAAATTATATGAATTGTATTAATGAATTACGATATTGTAATTTATGATGCTTCCTATATTTCATATACTATTTAGTAATCTTGATACCTTGAAGCTGTATTGCTTTTGAAATAAGGAATATTATATATATGTATATATTTTATAGTCTGTCTTAGTGCTTTATATATGCCTTAAGTGTTATCAGTTAATGTAGTGCTGTTTTAAAACTATGTATTAACTTGCTGCATGCTTTGTTTTACATTCTATTTGTTATAATACATGTATATGTTATTGTATTTGGTGAAAAGCTAATCAGAGCTAATGTTCAAATGTTCGTCGACATGCAAATTCAAAATACGTACTTTCTTACTTACTTACTTACTTACTTAACATTTTGCAGTTTATATGGAAAATCCAATGACTCTTTTCCAGCGAAATAATCTAAAAATTTTCAATAATTAAAATCGTGTAAAAAAAACTCGGGTACCTATGTTATTTTCAATAATTATGATGTGAATTGCATTATCGATTGGGGAAGATCTGATATGAAAACATTGTTTAATTTTTATTTCAGCATCGAGTATCCATAAAAAATGAAGCATCTATCAGATAAGACCGATTTACAATTTACAAACATATTTTACTTAGTAGTATAAGTTCTTCAAGGAAACGTAAAAAAAATCTTAAGCTTTTATATATTGTTTAAACATACATTAATGCTTTACATTTTATATTAATCATGTTATTGCATATGTTAATTTATTGACATGAAATACTTGCTATATCCAGTCATCTCGAGAGCTTTATTGTTTGTTATTTATGGTATGCCGTCGTTGTCATGGGATATTTTAGACTTTGTGAAATATTTTTGTAGGCGTGGAACAAACAACTTCACCCATTTCAACAGATATAACTACACACCTAGAAGTCACCACTAAAAACGTTTTAACAACAGAGATTTCAACGGAACCTATAACAGAAAGTACAACAATGATACCAGCAACAAAGATAACAACTGAATCTATAACACCAAGCACATCAAAAATACCAACTACAGAAATTAGATCTGAATCAACAACATCAATCACATCAAAGATATCAACAACAGCAGCTACAACTGAACGTATGGTTATTTGTATTTTTTGCCATCCTCGTCCATTGGTGTCTGGCTGATATTTGATTCAATTACAAGCATATCATGCTTTCTCACGTTATATAGATAGTAACAAAATGTACACCATATAGGATATTTGTCGCCGACGTTTTCAACTCCTGTATTTTTTTTAGCTATACATTACGAGTTTGCCCAGTAATCCTCAATACATTGTACTTGTGAAAAATAATATAGTTCAACATTAATTATATCTCAAAATTAAATAACTCAATTATATATAAGTTTGCTTTTATATCATTTACTAACCAGATGTTTACCTGTAAATTGTTTTCAAAAATATGTTCATTGTATAAACTAATATCATGCTCCTAGATTTCTTTGAAATTATATGAATTGTATTAATGAATTACGATATTGTAATTTATGATGCTTCCTATATTTCATATACTATTTAGTAATCTTGATACCTTGAAGCTGTATTGCTTTTGAAATAAGGAATATTATATATATGTATATATTTTATAGTCTGTCTTAGTGCTTTATATATGCCTTAAGTGTTATCAGTTAATGTAGTGCTGTTTTAAAACTATGTATTAACTTGCTGCATGCTTTGTTTTACATTCTATTTGTTATAATACATGTATATGTTATTGTATTTGGTGAAAAGCTAATCAGAGCTAATGTTCAAATGTTCGTCGACATGCAAATTCAAAATACGTACTTTCTTACTTACTTACTTACTTACTTAACATTTTGCAGTTTATATGGAAAATCCAATGACTCTTTTCCAGCGAAATAATCTAAAAATTTTCAATAATTAAAATCGTGTAAAAAAAACTCGGGTACCTATGTTATTTTCAATAATTATGATGTGAATTGCATTATCGATTGGGGAAGATCTGATATGAAAACATTGTTTAATTTTTATTTCAGCATCGAGTATCCATGAAAAATGAAGCATCTATCAGATAAGACCGATTTACAATTTACAAACATATTTTACTTAGTAGTATAAGTTCTTCAAGGAAACGTAAAAAAAATCTTAAGCTTTTATATATTGTTTAAACATACATTAATGCTTTACATTTTATATTAATCATGTTATTGCATATGTTAATTTATTGACATGAAATACTTGCTATATCCAGTCATCTCGAGAGCTTTATTGTTTGTTATTTATGGTATGCCGTCGTTGTCATGGGATATTTTAGACTTTGTGAAATATTTTTGTAGGCGTGGAACAAACAACTTCACCCATTTCTGCAGATATAACTACACACTTAGATGTCATCACTAAAAATATTTTAACAACAGAGATTTCAATGGAACCTATAACAGAAAGTACAACAATGATACCAGCAACAAAGATAACAACTGAATCTACAAAACCAATCACATCAGAAATATCAACTACAGTAATTATAACTGAATCGACAACACAAATCACATCAGAGATACCAACAACAGCAGCTACAACTGAATCTACAACACCAATCACATCAGAGATACCAACAACAGCAGCTACAACTGAATCGACAACACCAATCACATCAGAGATACCAACAACAGCAGCTACAACTGAATCTACAACACCAATCACATCAGAGATACCAACAATAGCAGCTACAACTGAATCGACAACACCAATCACATCAGAGATACAAACAACAGCAGCTACAACTGAATATACAACACCAATCACACCAGAGATACCAACTACAGAAGTAACAACTGAATCGACAACACCAATCACATCAAAGACACAAACTACGGAATTTACAACTGAATCTACTGCACCAATCACATCAAAGATACCTACGGCAGAAATTGCAACTGAATCTACAACTCAAATCACTTCAGAGATACCAACTACGGAAGTTACAACTGAATCTACAGCACCAATCACATCAAAGATACCAGCTGCAGAAGTAACAACTGAATTGACAACACCAATCACATCAAAGATACCAACTACAATAGTTACATCTGAATCTACAACACCAATTACGACAACGATACCAACTATGGAAGTAACAACTGAATCTAAAACACTAATTACAACTTTGAAACCAACACAGGACAGTCCAACAAAAGAACAGACGACAGAAGCAACCACTAAAGATTCAACAACTGAAAGTACAACATTGTCATCATCAAATGAAGGTGCCATAGGCACAAAAGCTACTCGTAAGTATTTTTTCTGCTTTCTGTATGACTATAGATACTTTTGTTTTGCAAGGGTTGTCTGTAGTAATTGTCTTCTGTCGCAGATTATCTTGGATAACTTGCAGTGAAAAAAACTGATAAAAACAACAGTTTAAAGGCTATACTAGAGATTTAAAATGTATCCTTCTTACAGTTATATTCAAAATTAAGCTTCAACAGTTTGGATGAATAAATGATATTGTTAAATCTTCAATCATTAAATTCGAATCTTTTTTTTTAGTGTGAATGATAATTCTTAATATTCATTAAACTGGAATATAAAAAAAATATTTCATCTAAATATATCTATGCTCCTCCCATCCTGTGTTTTCTTTCAAAATTCTCATAAATTTGATAAAAGCTTTTACGTGATATAATGACAAACTACGGAAATTATTTAGAATTTTTATTTCAATTGCGGTAATGTTCAAATACCAGAAAATGTTTTTAAATTTGTTTTCAAATACCAAAACATAATTTAAAGGCTAGATAAAAAAGAAAATAAGCAATGCTTGCATCTTTGTGTTGTGTATATGTTTTGCACTATGCAATAAGGGATTGATATGAATTTGTCTTTTCCCATATTCTGTAACACGAATGAAATGTGTCTTTGATTTTTATTTAAATTATGTTCAGTGTGTTTTTAGCATTTTATATCATGTTTTCTTCTTGCACTGTTTATGGTGTTGCTTGATGATATCTCATTGAACGAACAGCCTATTTTACTACAAGCTTTTTTTTAACTCGATGATATGTGAATTTAAACATTTTTTTTAGTATCTCCATTATATTCCTGTATGGTGCAATTAAGTATTGTTGTTCACAGATACCTTGGTATATATGTATACTATACCGGTAGCATAATGGAATAAAGGGCTGTTATTCAACAGATTTAGTAAGATTTTAATTGCAGTTTCTTTCATTGTAACATCGAAATGGTAAATTAAATATGTGAAGTCAGAAAACCTCGCAATGGCTGTCTTTATTTAAATGTTTGTTTACAAAAGAATATAGGTTGGTTGAAAGTAGATCTTTTTTGAAATTTAACCTACAAATCTTCCTTAAGAAAAAACCAGAACGGGTTTTTTAAAGGAAGACAACCCAGATAAGTTAGTTATAAATGACGAATGTACTGAATATTTGTCTATTTGATAATGAACAAGCACACCTGAAGACCGTGGTCTCCCTTTTTTTGTATTGTTTTAGTGTTGTTGTTGTCTCATTGACGTACACCAAACATATATGTTTAGTAAAAGGAAATATTCAGACTGTCATATAAAATCAATGTAAGTAATTGATTTTTATCAACTGATTGAAGAAAATATTACTGTTAATAATAAAAGTTAAAATAATTATGTAAAATTCTAATGATTAGCTCCAGATGGAACTGTATCACGTTGTAGAATCCTAGCTGGTAGTGTAATTTCTGCTTTTTCAGTTTAAATTACACATTTTGAAGTTCTATGCAACTTAAGTATAGTTTTTTACACTTTTAAATTTATGAATTATGGTGATTTAAATTATAGTTATTAATTTCTGAAATTTTGATATTTTTTCAAGTTAACAACATCAATACTCCGATAATAGCCGGTAGTATCGGAGCTGTAGTTGCAGTTCTCTCCCTCATTGGAGCAATATATGCAACATATGCAGCAAAACAGAGCATTAACAAGTATGTATGAACTTTATCCTTTAAATATAATACGAGATATAGTTCTAAACATGGCAAAAAGTAAAATTCTAAACAAGACAAACACGCCTTTTGAAAAGTATATAAATATATATAAGAATATAAAGATTTCCTTCAAATTCAAGAGCATTCACAACAGAAAAAAGTAAAATCACAAAAATACTGAAGTCCGAGGAAAATTCAATCGGAAAGTCCCTAATCACATGGCAAAATCAAATGACAAAACACATCAAACGAATGGACAACAACTGTCATATTCCTGACTTGGTACAGGCATTTTCAAATGTAGAAAATGGTTGATTGAACCTGGTTTTATAGCGCTAAACCTCTCACTTGTACGACAGTCTTATCAAATTCCGTTATATTTACAACGATGCGTGAACAAAACAGACATTATAAATAAAATAGTCAAAATATGGGTACAGCAGTCATCATTGTGTTACAATATCAAAACAAACAATTATTTACAAAAAAAGCACAAAAGCATCTATCAAATTAAAAACCACATTCATTGCTTCGCGTGTCTGACGTCAGAAAATGTTAACGTCACATAAGAAAAAAGTTTGTCATTCAATGTTTATTCAAAACAATTTTATAATTTCACATGGGGAATGTTGGTATACAGGGTTAAAAAATCAAAAGTTATGTTAGAATTAATTTCAGAAATAGACCGAGATTTAAAATTGTCCAGAAGTTCTTAAGAATTTTTAAGAATCCACATATGGTAAATACCACTACGCGAGTAAAATAAATTTGTCGTTTGTCGTTCAAAGTATTTTCAAATTTATAATAGAACAATAACATAATGACATATAATAGAACAATAACATAATGACGGGATCTTTTAAAGTACACAAGCGAAGACTTTTGCTAATGCAATTCGTTTGTAAATGTATGATTAGATTATATTGGCTAACACTCCTTCTTAACTTCACTTATTGCCATTACTTAGGCCTACATGTAAGGGGACACACATATTTCTTTACATTCAGATGTTTTGTACAGTGTTTCAAGTCATCACCAACTCTTTACCATTGAAATGCATGATATCTGATACCTTAAAGAGATGTTTAACGTTAGTTGGTGCATTCGAAAAAAGATATTTGTTATCTATGTTGTGATAAAAAAGTTAAGGTTCCCGGCAAGATCGATTTTCATTTATAATACTGAGGAAGCATGTTCCTAAATTGATTGAAAAAGGACACTTTGACATTACGTGCAATAACTTGAAAACTTTTCAACCTTTTGCAAGTTTTAATCAACTGTGTGTTATGACAAAATGGATATCAAGTTAATTATTGACGGTTTTCACTTAAATTGTTCCAGATTGACGTCTACTGAATGATTGAAAAGTTACACTTCTTGTCGTTTCCTTGAAGTAAAAAAAGTTCATCAAATGATTTGTTTTATATGTTGTTATTACTATTAAATGATAGCCAATGACAAATCCATTATTGATGACGTTCCTTTTTACAAGTTCAGATGTTGTAATCCTTGATTGATTGGAATATAATATTCACTGATTAAGTTGGGAACCATTCAAACATTATTTGTATTAAATTTTTGTGTTTTAATTTCTTGTTTTTAATAACAAAATAGAGGTCAAGTTTGATATTAACGACTTTCACTTTTGCCGTTCTGTAGTAGCAGCTCTTAATTGCTTTAACAACGACACAAATATATGTTATGATAAAAAGAGCATAAGAAAGCATCATTATAAACGTCTTAAACTTGCAGTGAGATGAGAGTGTGCATTAAGTGAAACTATTTTATGAGAAAAAGAGCATAACAAGATATCATCGTAAACGTCTTAATATTGCAGTGAGGTGAGAGTATGCATTAACTGAATATATTTTATGAGAAAAAGAGCATAAAAATACACCATCGTAAACGTCTTAATATTACAGAGAGGTGAGAGTATGCATTAACTGAATATATTTTATGAAAAAGAGCATAAAAACACACCATCGTAAACGTCTTAATCTTGCAGTGAGGTGAGAGTGTGTGATCTTTTAAATCATGGATGAATACCCAAGAGCCTTTTCCATCATCTTGTTATTGTTTCTTATGTTGCGATAAAACAAAACGTTTCACCCCAGGAAATCTGTATCAACTAGATACATATTATTTATCTTCCGAGTTTATTTGGCATTGAGATAGTGCTTAATTTAAAACATTATCGTGTCGTCTTAATTTATCTAATTTGTCCATGATGTTATACATTGAGTAATGTAGTAACATATTTAAGATATTATAAAGATAACTAGTAAGAGATAAAACTGGTAAGAATACCAAATATTAGTTTCTAAATGTATTGTAAGTTGGTTAACGTTATAGTGTACTCATGGTGTCCTAATATAAATAGGCTTTCTTTCTTCTATTTTAGACCCGATATACAAAAGCAGCAAACATCAGAATTCTCCGACGTGTATGACAGTAGACAATTTCCTGCTGTTACCCCAAGATATGGTAGTCGGATAAGTTGGTATTAAGGTGACATCGTTGATTATGAGATAAAGCCAACCATATACTTTTTAACAAAGAAAATGAGATAAATTATAAACAGATTTTCGCAGATAATTAAAGTTAAAACACCATTTACAATGTATAAATATAAATTCTGCATTATTCTAGATGAAGAAAATTTTACAATGAATTGAATGAATATTACTTATGAATTATAATAATATTAAATGGCTGATATATCAGTATCGTTTGATATTGGAAATAATTAACCACGACAACTGTGGTCAACCGTCTCTTTGCATCAATTCAATCATAGTATACATGCATTTATGGTACCTCTAGATTTAATTGTATATCTTCATCTTTATGAAGCTGTTTTGATTTTCATTATGTATGCTAACTTTGTATTGTTGTCTTTCACATTATTCTTTTTTTTATTCAAAAAGGGGACATTCGATAGATTTTCAGTGGAGAAAACTTTTACTCTGCAACTAAAGTTGAATGTGACGTTGTGACGTTGTGTTTTGATCATGATGACGTCATTATAACGGAAAGGGATCATGTATTTATGTTAAGAACTTGTATTTGCAATATTTTCTATGCTTGTTTTGAAATGCAAAACAATCCGACTGGGTTCTTTGGTGACATACATCATTACCAGGATTTGAAATTTACGTTTGTGCAACAACAATATATACGCCTTTTGAAAAAAAATAAATGATATACATATCACTTTTGTGATCTTGTGCATTTGTATTTTCTATATCAATCTCTAAATATATCAACATATATTTTTTTTATATGAATATTTGTTTAAGCAATCTTATATTTATTTTCTTATTTTTTTATTTTATACATATTGTAATTTGAAAATGGAAATATTTTAATAAAGAGTTTATGTTCTTTGATTTGATTTCAAGTTATTTTACAGCGGTGAATAACAACATATGCTTATGTCCCAAGTTTGCATTAGTAGAGGTCTAAAAGTGATAAAATCAATTTTTCGATTTGCTTACGTATAACACAATAATCAAATAGAAAACATGACAAAAATGTGTTCTATTAGGTGTTATACCACCATTGATTTTCCCCTATCAATTTTTGTTAAATTTGCACTTGTCAAAAAATTGTGCAGAATTTATCTTTGCTTCAAACAAAGAAATACCTGGCACAAGTACAGTTTTATCCTGTCCAGTACTATAGAAAAAATTTCACATTACATTTCATTGCATACAAGACAATAACCATCACTGGAAGTTAACCAATCAAATTTCCCACCTTATTTAACCTGTGTACAAGCTTTAGTAACCATGTAACCTCAAGTTTCCAAAATATTCTAAAGAAACCCCAAATAAAAGAATAATGGTGCTTTGAAATACCCGAGATATATGTTTATGACCAAGAAATGTTTTACTGCAATGAAATGTAGGATCAATTACCTACAACTGTCAAATTCAAGGGAATATTTTTTTCGACCTATTTTCGTATACAACCGGATGTGACGTACCATGATTTGGTGGTACCGTAAATTGTGTTATTTTGGTTGTAGTTTTATTTTGGTTTATTTGGTGCCTCCAATGAAAGTGCAAAAATTAAACACACGAAAATAAAGCAAACACAAAAAATAGAAAAGCCAAAATCGCGTACCGGTACAACAATATCATAATGTTATTTGTTGGGGAAGATATTTTTTGTTATTGTGTCTTCCGTATATTTCCTACAATTCTATACATAGCCAAATCTGAAAATATATACCTGGTATAATTTGACAACAAAACTATATATTTTTTACTTAATTGTCAATTTTCTGAAATTGTTAATGAATTTTTATTCACACATGTCATATATATGCCAGGCTGTTGCTGATAAGACGCCGTTATTGGTAATTAGTATATAAAAACTCCTTGTAATCATTTATCTTCATTTTAATTAACTAACATATACTGCCAGAGGCATAAGGATTAAAAAAATCCTTGATCGTCAATAGATTAACATGTACTGCAATAGATATGATTAAAATTTATTTCATATGAAATTTGTAAGAAATAAATAATATATTTAAAAAGTGATTTTAATGTTTTAAGATCTTATTTCATATTTTCTTTCAGCTTTGAACCACTATATACAGAATTATTAACAATTGTATCTGTATCCGATTCCTTCATTAAGTTAACTTTGTCGTGTTTCTAGTTTGAGAAATTCAATGATATTTTGTCAATAAACGGGTAAATAAAGGCAAATATGAATGCGCTTGCTCACTACTGTTGTTCAAAAATTAAACATTTCAATTGGACGAAGCACCAAAATTACACACACCAAAATAAAACACATGCCTTTCAAGAGAAAACGACCAAAATATCCCGACGCCAAAATTTCCCACAAGTCATTCTTGATTTGATTGACGTTCGAGTTTTATTTTTTAACTCGATAATTGCGCAACAATTGGTACATTTACATTTATTGTGCTTAATGATAAACTTAACGCTAAGTTTATCTCCTCCTTATTCATGCCATTAGTATGCTTAAGTCCTTTGTGCATCACGTACATATTCAATATTTATCACCTGCGTGCATCAATCAATCTACTTATTAACATTGTGGTCAAACATCCTCCGAAATCCTATGAATTACAAAAACAAACAATGCTACAATGTGTTCCAACCTATACTTAAAATTGTCTTATCTCGTTTTAAGTTAGTTCAAATCTAGTGTTCACTGTCTCTGAAAAAGACGACATTGTTCCTGTTAGTTATTAAGATTGTGGAAATAATAGAATCGATGATCTTAGGTCATATAATAAATGCAATATATTTATGAACAATTGCATTATTGTCCTGAATTTTCAAGTATTATTCGAATTGTACTATTTGAGATAGTTTCGTGAATATCAATCTGTGATTAACACTGTGACAGTTGCTTGTGTTGAATATCCGACTAAATTCTACAAATTGGAGTAGTATTTAAGTGATTCTAATCGAGGAGGGCACAGTGGTTCAGCATGTGGTCTACATATTTACTAATAGTTAAAAAAAACCAATAAAGTGGATGACACGTCGCCCAGGATAAAACAGATGTCAAACGGATGTTGTCATGAAAACAACAACTCCTAATGTAATATGTGATTCTAGTAGCACTTTAAAAGATGTCAGGGGAACAACCTTTGATTATTCTTCAGATTCCTTACCGAAAAACAAACATTCAGACAAGTACATCATATCTGGTTCTGTCTGTAGGGTACAACTGCCATATATATTACATTGAAACAACTTGCAGCATTGTTTCAGTCTAAAACTTTCACCAGCTTGAAAATTCCAGAAAAGTGTATCCTTCAACGCAGGACCCTGTATTGAGTATACTGTGGATTCATTATTATTCGTTGGATACCAATTTTCGTGGATTTCGTGGGTACAAGTGAACCACGAAATTAAATGTTCAACGAATGACTCGTTTTGTATAGGCTTGTACGCAGACTTTCGGTCAAACCACGAAATTAAATATCCACGAACATGCAAATTTTCACTAATCCACGAAAATTGGTACCCACGAAAATAAATGAATCCACAGTACTGTATTATATTACCAAGAGAAGATTTCTGGATTCGAGAACAGCTATTAATGAACACAATTGATGATGTAGTTATTTTGTCTTGTCCCCGGTTGTTCGACCCAAAAAAGGTCACGCGCATTAGAAATATCCAGGACAGTTCAAACAGTGTCTGGATGGTTTTTTGTTCTATGTTTTAAAATCTTTCAAACTAGACTGTTTTCATACCTTTGCCACAGCTAAATTCACTATTTAAAGAGTAAAAGCAATGTTCAGCAAAGTAAGATATACAAATAAGTCAACATTACCAAAATGATCAATTGACCCCATAAGAAGTTGTTGCCCTTTAAAGTAAATTTTTAACAATTGTTGTAGAAAAGTCTAACCCTCTGAAACAACTTTAACCAAACTTGGCCACCATTTTAGTTTAAAATTGTGTCCGATGACCCAGCCTGCCAACCAACATGGCAGAAATGGCTAAAAATAGAAGATAGGGATATAATGCAGTTTTTGGCTTATAACTAAACCAAAGGTATAACGGTTGCATTAATTTATGCATCAATAAAATAAAAATAATAGGTGAGCGACACAGGCTACTTGGAGCCTCTTATTTCCCCTTGCAATGTACCGAATACTTCAAAGAGGGGCGAAAGATACCAGAGAGACAGTCAAACTCATAGATCGAAAATAAACTGACAATGCCATGTCTAAAAAAATATAAAGACAAACAACCAAATAATAGTACACAAGACACAACATAGAAAATGAAAGACTAAGCAACACGAACCCCACCAAAACTGGGGTGATCTCAGGTGCTCCGGAAGGTAAGCAGATCCTGCTCCACATGTGGCATCCATCGTGTTGCTCATGTTATTACAAACCCGATAAATAGTATAATTCGGTAGGTCACATTCGTGGTGAAAAGGGGTCAATTGACGACAAAAGGAACATATCCGATATCATCTGTGAAACGGTTATTCCATAACGGTCAACCAACTCGTGATGGCGTCCGTAAAATTTACGAAGGGATGATTTCAACTTCACCATTTGGAATTCTTGGTTTAATAGTTTCCTTGTGAGCAGCAACCCTCTATCAAGAAAATCATGTTAGGAATACAAGCCCTGGAATATCGTATCAATTGGGAAATATATACTCCGTATGCAGGCGCTGCTGGAATGTTGCTACATAGAAAAGGAAAGTTCACAATGGGAAGCTGAAATTACCCCTTTTGTTGTAAAGTTTTGTTTTCAACCGACCCTCATTGTCAATTTCTAGATGTAAGTCATGATATGAGGCAGACTTAACTGTATATGTTGTATTTTTTATCAAAATGTATTCACTATAAAGATACGAAGATGTGGTATGATTGTCAATGAGACAACTCTCCATAAGAGACCAATTGACACAGAAGTTAACATATATATAGGTCACCGTACGCCCTTCAACAATGAGTAAAAGCCATACCACATAGTCAGCTCGTAAAGTCCCCGAAATGACAAATGTAAAACAATTCAAACCAAAAATCTAACTGCCTGATTTAACGTACCCAATAGTGAACTAAAACAAATGTGATATACAGAAACAAACGACAACCACTGAATTACAGGATCCCGACTTGGAACAGGCACATGCAGAATTTGTTTTTCCCAAACAGTTGTTGGTCACAGATCCTAATGGCATGATCTTGTCCAATAGACATTTATGTCATGGTAGTAAATACTAATGATATATAACTCGGCTTCAAGTCAATAATGGTTGAGTATGAAAAGAAATGAAAATTAAGGCCTGAATGTGAAAGAATGATCTTGTATCCATATTACTGACCTGAAAAACTGCCCATGCCATTGACTGAAAGGTGTTTCTCCATCTGTTGTTTCCGTATTTAAATCAATGTTATCAACACCTTCTTGAACAAGACCCCCACCCCATCCGAGAAACATATGGGACGTGCACAGCATCTTGAATTCGCACAATTTTATGGTTGACAATACTTGAAATTAGAGTCGCACTTCACTGTACAAATCACAAAATCCATTGGTATTTTTACTGTTTCAACAATGTGTGTTTGAACCAAACTCATGATACATTTGTAAATCTTGAATGTAAAGCAGTATATCTGTTTGGTCACAGTGACAATTGACTCAACAATTTCCAAGCATTTACCAATTTCTCTGGTTTCATTTCCTGATTATAGACTTTTCTGTATGCTGTATTATGCAATAAGACGAAGGTATAGAATGAATTGAAGAAGGAAGAGACAATTCATGAGAATTTGGGTATTCTTCTGTCGAGTTTCGATGTTTTTTCTAAGTTTACACGAAATGTATATATGATCCTTATTTGTGTCTATTACTGCTGAAATAAAGGCCTGCATCTCAGAGATTTTGAGGTTAGCATTTAATTAGCTAGCAGTTGACATGGTATCCCTAATAGTTTTGTTTCTACTGAATATAATGTTAGATTCTCTTTGACCTTGTTGTGGTTGTATGAAAACTGTGTTTCTACGTAGTTTCCAAATAGAATATTTTAACTTACAGTAGGAAAGACATATCTTTATATATTAAGTAACGTTGTCACGAGGAATGCCTTTTTTCACAATAAAATCGTTGTTAATAGCCAATATAAGATTAGTAAAAGCAGTATCGTGATCTGTGATTTCTGCTTCTAGGGATTCAGATTTTTGTTTTGTTTTCGTTTCTAGCCAATATGCTCTAATGCAACCAGAAAGACATAGCGCTTGAAGTTTAAAAGATGGGTGATAAACTATTTCTACTCTTAAATTATCGTAATTGCTTGTTGCCACGGATTAAACATTCTCAATAAGTCCATCTGATTCAAACTTGCAGAGACTCAAATATTTCTTAAACATTTTGTTGCAACAAATTATACCAGAACTCAAGTCGAATCACAGACTTGTAGAATGCGTATAAACACCCGAATCTTGGAGACAACAGTCCGATGATTGTCTGTCGTCAGCTTAGAATCTTCCTCACGCAGAAAGGGAGAACAATTCTGAATACTGTTGTAACTTTTGTAGCATGAACGATGGTATACTGCCTGCATTTCTCCAAAGTCACAGCTATCAAATGAAACAAATTCATCTATAACCTTGATGTACAACTCATCCACTCGTTTGTGCATTGCAGAAACAAAAGTCGACTTCCCTTTCTTGATTAATGCACTCAAACTTTCAGTTGATTTTATGAGGCATATTATGCAATGCATGAAATTAACCACTAACTTACATCCTTTCTTGGGACTTGAAAGAAAAAAATCAACGGACTTGACGAATTGTACATGTCGCAGAATTTTAAACTGAAACTATCCGCCAATTATTTTTGATTTTATATAAATAAACTTTTCTGATCAAGTGTTTCTGACGGATAATGGTAAAAAAAAAAATATGAGCATATATATACAAAATTTTTACATATATAAGTGCACTTAATTGAAAATAGTTGTATATAATAGCGAATACGGTAGTAATTTCATATATCAATTGAGTTAAATAATAGTACAAAATGTGATGAAAGGGAAATGATTAAGTTCCGTGGTGAAATTGCAGTTTTTACTTTATACTTTTTCCGTTGAAATCTTCAGGCTTTTTTATAACTAGGTTCTGAAATTTTTATCAGTAAAAGTTTTATGAAGTACTATATGCTTAAACTATTATGGGATAGTTTTTACTACTACTACATTGTATGAAAAAGAAACTAAAGTTTGTGTTTGAATTTGCATTAAAAATGACTTCAATTTTAAACAGTTAGAACTTAACTAATTTTATAGATTAGAATAGAATAGAATACCGAATAAAACTTTTTGACATATGATAATGGCTAGGGAAAAAAATATATTATTCAAATGTTAGCAAATATTTCCAAAATTTCATTTTGAACAAGGGGAGTTGCAAACTTTCCAATATATTACTAGTCATTAAAACGATTTTTAGAAAATTATGACCATACGAAATTCTTACAACAGGGTGTAAAATAAAGAACACATATTTGTCTTTAAGTTAAGACAATTTTTAGCCGCGTGTTTTTGGGGAGATTAAACTCGAAATCTAGACGATTTTTTACACTTCTGTCACCGCACTATTTGGTTACTGATTGATGTTGTTCGAGAAAATGTAAACTAACAATTACAAAACAAAAGCAAAAAACAATCGCAAAGGAAATCCCACATATATATCTACATCATTCAAGAAGGATGGAATTTAGAAAATCACAATCCGTCCTTCTCTCTTTTGGTATTTACATAAAAAAGGATGTTGGATTTCTCCCGTCTTTATACTGGAAACCCTATTCCTTTACTTTGTTGATATAATCGATATCGATTTTGTTGGTGTATAACGCGTTAAATTCATAAAGATAACCGTTTGAGCTGTCAACAAAAACGAGTATATCAAAATCAAGTTTTGAGTTATCGAACTATATTGTAATCAGTAACGATGATTATTAAAATGAATTTAAATCACACGTTACAGTTATAGTCAACATATTTATACATGGTAATCATCGATTTGTCGCGAAAAATGACATATTGTTGACGTGGAACGATTACTTTGAAAATATAAATGAACTTTCAAAAGTGAAGTCAATTGTTTGAATAAAGTATGGCAAGTCAATAAGATCAAAACATTTTTAATTGATATAGATAAGACAGGACAACTGGAAAACCAATTGAAGAGAAAAGGTGAAAGATCAAACATGTCTGCAACCGTTGTTGTTTTTTATTTGGAAAACGAGTTATGTGTTCCATCGAAAGAAGTTCTAATTATCATACAGTATGTTTTTACTTTCTAGCATTCTTTATTTAAAAAAAGCAACTGCAATACAACATTTTGAGAAATTATTTTTGTACAAAACATACTACTTTGGTTTCTTACTTGCTGTAGAAAAATACAATTGTTGGATACATGAGCATTGCGCATTGTTAATGTTTCTCGTGCACATTTCAAAAATATGATAAAAACAAACGCGTAGAATTGGACCATATGAGGTATAATTATATCGTCATGACCATATGGTCCAAATACTCATATAATCCTGAACATATATATAACAAGTTATGCATACATCGAATAATGCCTGTTATTACTGTTAAACCCTGAAATTATAGTAGGTTTTTTTACTTTTTCTTTCTGTGACAGTTCCCATTCAAGCAGTGAACACAGCAGGTGCTGTGGATGGGGTTGTTGAATCAACAGCTTTTTTACGCACAACATTTATTTTCCACCTGATGAACACAATAACAGCACCTAAGAGTAAGATACCTGCTACAAATCCTCCTATGATAACTGGCTTATTGTCGCTGGCTGAAAAAATCCAATATCTAAGAATGGAAAGCTGTAAAGTTATATTTCAGTTAAATTATCATAGTACATGCTTTGCATTAATAATTAGTATTCATAGGATGCTCAATGTTGTGGATTTATTGAGTTTTAATGAAAAGATATACAATTAAGCAAATAACAAATTTCCTGTAAACTTGCATTCATAAAAAAAACGAATACAGTTTTATTCAACAAGCGAACATTGGTCACCATGACATTGTTTGATTGCAGAGTATAATTGTTTTGTAACCTTTCTTATCATTAATGTATTACGATTAAAAATATAGTACAGATTTGGAATATGAACTGATAGCGGGAATCGAGTAAATTATCGAGATTAAAGAAAACAAATTACCGTTTACTAGATAAAAGATACCAAGCGAACAACTTCTTTTGCTTGTCGAATGTTTCTTACATAAAAGAGTTCACTTAACAGTCTTAATCAAAATCAAACTCCAATATCCTTATTTTCATGAGCAGTAGGTACTTCATGGAATTTTGTTATTGTGTATTTTTGCTAATGTATTTTATCGATATGCTTTTTTGTATTTCTTTGTTGGCATATTCGTTTTTTATAGTGTTAAATATTGTAACACAATGTTGACTGCTGTACCACATTTTTTACATTTTGATTTTGTGCTATATTTTCTGTTCACACAGTGTTGTGAATATAATGGAATTTAATGCAACTGTCTTACAGGAATATGGCAAATGGTTTCGGATTTTAGTTTTGCCATTTGATAAAAGACTTGAATTTTCATTTGAGATCGGTATTTTTGTTAATTTATTGTTTGAAAGCATTGGACACCGAACGTTTTAAATCTGACTAAGACTTTGTATGTCACATTTTATAACTGAAACAATCAATTTACTCCGCGTGAACAGCGGTATACTACTGTTGCCTTCATTTAAACTCTCGATGCTCAAACAATAGAGACTACGTTTTGTTTAATTTTAATTTGTTGAGTTTATTCAAACAACCAATTATTACTTACTTAAAAACGATAAGTCATTTCCTCTTGCTGAAGTTGTAGGCTGAGTAGATAATGTCGTCCAATCAGAGATTGTTGCTGTTTCTGTTATAAGTTTATCTGACGTTGTTGCTGTTAAAAAATTTGCTGCTTTGCTAGTTGATGTTGGTTCCGTGAATGATGTGGGTTTTGATGCTGAGTTGGTTGTTGTCGAAACATACTTTCGATTGCTTGTATTTTTCGACTGTGTTGTTGGAACTGTTGTTCGCTTTTCTGTTGATTCAAGATATATGTTCAATTTTTGTTATTTGAAAACAGATGGTTACTTCAAGGAAATATTCAACAAAAGAAATTGAAATAGTAATTAATTCATATTTTGCCTTGTTCAGATAGGCCAACATAGTTAGTTAGTGCAGTTAGTCGCACAATTACTAACACAATTCTATATTAATATTCTTGGAATTGTTATAAAATACATTAAAAAGCATTTTGACGAACTAAATCTCGATTTATATCTACTTTTTAGAAATTTACCGTCGACGCCACTTTTTGTGGCACTGTGAAAAAGTAAAATCACAAAACTACTGAACTCCGAGGGAAATTCAAAAAGGAAAGTCCCTAATCAAATGGCAAACTCAAAAGCTCAAAAACATCAAACGAATGGATAACAACTGTCATTTTCCTGTCTTGATACAGGCATTTTCTTATGTAGAAAATGTTGGATTGACCAGGTTTTATAGCTAGCTAAACCTCTCACTTGTATGACAGTCGTATCAAATTTAATTGTATTAAAACGATATCGATGAGTGAACAAAATAAAACAGACACATGATGGTATGCATAAGTACAGAGTCACGTCAAATATATATCACCAAAAAAAAGACTAAACAGTAATAGTAATATTAATAAAGACAAATACAAGAATACTATCGAACGTTATTAAGATGATAAACAGCGTCAGTACGCAGAATCTATACTTCAAGACACACAGTTCGTAATTCTATTATGTTGTTTTTGTGTACTGTACTTAATTGATTTTAGGTCATCGTTTTTATTCTGTGGTTAAAATGTCGAAATGTACTTTAATATTACTTATTTATTTCTCTGTCCTGAGTGTTAATGCAACTGTCTTACAGGATTATGGCAAAAGTTTTCAGATTATAGTTTCGCCATTTGATAAAAGACTTGAATTTTTCTTTTGAGATCGGTATTTTTGTTAATTTATTGTTTGTAAGCATTGGAAACCGAACGTTTTAGATCTGACTAAGACTTTGTAGGTCACATTTTATAACTGAAACAATCAATTTACTCAGCGTGAACAGCGGTATACTAATGTTGCCTTCATTTAAACTCTCGATGTTCAAACAATAGAGACAACGTTTTGTTTAATTTTAATGTGTTGAGTATAATCAAACAACCAATAATAACTACCTAAAAAAGATAAGTCACTTCCTCTTGATGAAGTTGTAGGCTGAGTAGATAATGTCGTCCACTCCAAGATTGTTGCTGTTTCTGTTGAAAGTTTATCTGACGTTGTGACTGTTACAAGCTGTGCTGCTTTGCTTGTTGATGTCGGTTCTGTGAATGATGTGGGTAACGATGCTGAGTTGGTTGCTGTCCAAACATACTTTCGATCGCTTGTATTTTTCGACTGTGTTGTTGGAACTGTTGTTCGCTCTTCTGTTGATTAAAAATATATGTTCAATATTTGTTATTTGAAAACAGATGGGTACTTAAAGCAAATAGTCAACAAAAGAAATTGAAATAATAATTATTCAAACTACTCTCATCAGTGACACAAAAACGGAATTATATTGTCAGACTGGTCAATCAGGGTTAAAATATCCGAAATTGGGAGATTGTATACTCCCGCGCAGGAGCAGACCGGTTAGCTCAAAACGGGAGGGTTGGCAGGTAAGCAGTGCAAAGCCACGTCATATGTATCAAAGATACACAAAAAGTCATATAGAAAAAGCACATTAGCAAAAAATGAAAGATGAGAATAAAAATATTATAGAACAATAACATAATGACGGGATGCATAAGTACAGAGTCACGTCAAATAAATATCACAAAAAACAGACTTAACAGTAAAATTAATATTAATAAAGACAAATACAAGAATACTATCGAACGTTATTAAGATGATAAACAACGTCAGAACGCAGAATCTATACTTCAAGACACACAGTTCGTAATTCTATTATGTTGTTTTTGAGTACTGTACTAAATTGATTTTTAGGTCTTCGTTTTTATTCTGTGGTTAAAATGTCGAAATGTACTTTAATATTACTTATTTATTTCTCTGTCCTGAGTGTTCTTGCATTTATTTGTACTGTATTCCTGTCATGTAATGTTATCATTTAACGGTATATTGAGCATTGTCATAAAGCGCTAGGTTTGGCTAGCTTCAACCAGGTTAAACCAATCATTTATTTCTTTAAATGTCATGTAACAGGTACCAAGTGAAGAATATGGCAGTTGTTTTCTAAAAGTTTGTTTCTATGTGTGATGTATTGTCGTTTTTTTGCACTTCAGTGTTTTTGTTGTTTCGTTGTTTTCCTATTATAGTTTATGGATTCCCTCGGTTTTAGTTGGTTACCCGGATTGGTTTTCTCTCAATCAATTTATGACATTTGAACAGCGGTATACTAATGTTGCCTTTATTTTTGAGAACATTATTAATCCCTTATATGAGCATGTTTCTAGGTAATGAAATAAACCAGGAAAACAAAAAGCAATAACCAAATGACGGGTCGCAAATTATTTAAATAACAACAATTGAGGTTTAAACGAATGAATATAACAGCTGAGTATGAAAAGAGGGAAAGAAAAATTGTAGGTTGTTTTTATATATGACTTTGTCAAAACTCACGTGTTATTGGATTGTGTGATGTACCATAAAATGTTAGAGACCAGGAAACCAGCGTTACTGCAAAATAAATATGCAGTATAATTAATATATACCAATTAATGTAGTGCTCATCTAATGTTATGCAATAACTGTCTTTTGATGAGGTAAATGTGTGATTTTATTGACTTTTGAATATCAGTATTTCAAAAGTCAATTATATATACCTCATACTAACCAAAAAAATGCGTACATCAAACGGTTTTAAAATTTTAGTTATGCACGTAGAAACGCGCCCTTTTGTCCGCTGAACATACGTTTTGCTTATTTCTTCAAAATCAAATTCTGAAAGACATACTCAAGTTCTAACAATACGGAATAAACAAAATGATAGCTAATTGATATTTGTAGAACTATCAATTAATTAAAAACAGAGTATTTCGAAACCATACAACATGGGAATTAACATCCTCAAATTAATTTTAAAGAAAAAGAAACCAATAATTTAATTATCATTATCAATAAATGAACATCTGAAGAATTCGAAGCAGATTGATTATCACAAAGATAAACCGATTTCACCTGCTGATTAAGCTTTACTGAGACCGCCTTGTGTAAGAGGTCATGAAAGCTATAAGATGAATAATTATATGAGTATCATTAAAACTATTATCTAGATAAGAGATAAAAGATATATACGGTGTTAAACTTACCAATAGAATATCCTTTATAAGAACCAACTTTAAGTCGCCAGGTACCAACAGGGTTTTCCCACCAGAAATGAACTGACATGAACGTCCATTTCAACCATCCTTTTCTTTTGTGTTTTCCGGCATCGTCATGCCGGTAATGAAGTAAATTACTTTCAGTTCCGCTTGGAGAAACAAGATATAGTTCTGTTTCACCACGATATCGACTGTAGGAGAACTTTATTTGAACTGTAACGTGTTCTAAGTAACGAATGAAAATATTACTCCTGGAAAAGTGCATTGTGTCTGACGACCACAAACTAGTAGAACTAAAATGAAAGAAGAAATTTATAACTTATTTGCACAATTTCCAATTTGACCTCAGTACAAATAAACTCATTATAACTACTAGGCTTTACGTTTTTTACGCGAAAGGCCCGTTTTGTCTACAGAAGAATCACAAGTGACGCTAGAATAAAAAAAAATTAAGGACAAATAAAGTATGAAATTGAATAGCATTAAGGACCAAAAATTCCAAACAGTTTTCAAGTGTTTCCCAATCTCTTCTAAGGTTATTTTTTTTTGGTGTTAAAAATCCTTTGAAGTATTTCGAAAATTCGAAGTTTTGTAAACAATTATTCATAATTATGACCATATCTATAATAATTCATGTCAACACCAAAAAAATGCCGACTAATTGGCTTGTACGAAATATTGTTTTATTATGTCATATGCCACAGAAATAGTTTAGATATCATGTGCAACATTTATATTTCAAAATATGGACAATATGACATGTTAAATTTGATTAAGAATTTCAAATTATAAGTAGTTGCTTATTTTAAAATAATAGTAAATGTTGAACTTCCACAACTATCGAGTATTTTTTCATGTCAAGAAGTGAAGTTATGTAGAAATTATATGATTAAATCTTAGATATCATACAGATACGATTAAGAATGAAAATCTGTTTAGTTGTTGATATATATTGAAAAGTCTAATTACATGAACGAAAAACGAGACAACGGATACATACATAAACGGAAACCTAGTAAGCGTTGTAAAGCTGTGTTGTACTGGAACAGTAACCCATGTTTTAGCTTTATTGACCATGGCTTTGGCATCCATTAGACCATACCCGAGGACTTGGCTAACTGCAAAAATATATTAAGGAGTTTGGAATATTTACAATAATTGTATTTTTTTAAATGAAAAAAAAACTATAAGTCAAAACTAAAGAGAGCATAATTAAACAAATTAAAGAATATAGTAGTTGTCTAGTTAAATGCCTCGATCTTTGTTTTTTACTAGTTCTATCTCTAGATATTTGCATGACACTCTCTTGTGGTCTAGAATTACATGAGCAACATTATAAGTAACCATAGACGAATAATCTGTTTCCCTCCCGGTTAACCTGCGATCAATATCGATTTCATTGTGGGGTTTGTGTTGCTTAGTTGTTATTTTTTTATGTTGTATTTTATGTTATGTTGTTTGTCTTTTTGTCGTCTTCCGTTTTTTGCCAAACGGCCTAAAGACAAACAACAGTTTACAAAACACAGCATATAAAACTAAAGACTATGAAACACGAATACAAACAAAATCTGTGGTTTATTACAGATGCATGGGATCTGTATGCATGTTCGGCTCTATATATGGCACCCGTCGTGTAACTCTTGAAAGTACGAATCCCCAAGTCTAATTTGATATCTCACATTCGCGAAAAGAACGAAGGAATTGTATTAACGACATTTGGAAATATCCGTCAGCATCTGTTAAACAGATTTTCTGTAACAGCCAACCAATTTGCGCTATCGTGATGACGTCCTGTTGAATCAGTCTTTCATAACAAGGTCGACGGAATAGATACGTTCAACACATTCACCAAATTTGTATAATTTAGCGAGAAGACACCATCTATTTACCGAAACTTGAAGTTAAGTGATAATGCCAGCTGTTTTACACTCATCTGGAAAGGTATTGGATGTAATATGCCTCATATGAATAAGAGATAAGTCGGCAAGAAGGAGAGTACAGTTGTGTCCTATGGAAATGCTGATTATTTAATTAAAAAGCACCTCCTCAAAACGTGACTAATATGTTGTCAATCATGACATTAAGAAATTTGATAATGCTAGATTCTTAGATTTTTCTGTTTGAATCTGAGCAGTTTTTTAATATCATATAAAAGATACATTTTAAAAACAATCGGAAAAACAGGTTGTAGACATAATTCGTACAACTTATTTCAGAATAAAAAAAGAAAATTGAAATGATGGGTTGACGAATATGTCAACCTATATGCCGTCCAACCAGTGTATAAACCATATAAGCAGAGTTTTACCAAGAATGAAATGATCCTATTAATTTTAAAAGAAGGGCGAAAGATACCAGAGGAACATTCAAACTCATAGATCGAAAACAAACTGACAACGCCATGACCAAAAAAGAAAAAAGACAAACAGATAAACAATAGTAAACATGACACAACATAGAAAACGGAAGACTAAGCAACACGAATCCCACCAAAAACTGGGGGTGAATATACTTAATAATATAAAACAAATTATTGATGTAAAAAGAGATTATGTACAACAACTTACATTCCTTGTTTGCTCCGTTTACTGACCAGTCAGAATATGTGTCATTAAATCCTTTCCTTGATGATGTAAGGACTATCAAATGTTGCACGTCTCTCCATGTGAGATAAGGACTGTGAAGGAAAAAACGACATAAATATCATTTCATAATGTAATTATCATTTGTTAAAAATCTCTGTGTAGTGATATTGGACATGTTTCTTTTTTTAACACGTGACTGAGCTTTACTATTTGTGTTGTTTTGGAAAGTAGAGGAACATAGAATTAATGATTAAAATCTATGGAGCTATCAAATGTGTTCAAAGTATTAAATTTTCAAAGAAAGTATTGTCTTAAAAAAGGAATTTTTTAACACGAGGAGCCGTATCACGAAAGGGTGTTCCGGGTATGCTAATTTACGGAAAAGTAATCTCACTTTGTACCCCGAAAATTTAACCACATATGTGAAAATGTCTGAGCTTCGAAAAGAGCCATCATACATATCTTAATTTACGATATGGACTGAGCTACAGGAAAAAAACGCTACCATTACCGCCTTTGGAATATCAATTAAAGATACTGACCCAATTTACAAGAAAATTGTTTGAAGTTGTCCGACTGATTTATTCATGATTGCACCTTGTACACCATGCAGAAAAAATTGTGAAAATGAAGGTTAGTTGTCTTTTATATATACATATTTATCACAGCTGGTTCTAGATACACATTATCTAAAAACAATTTTTTCGCTTTTGAAATGCATTACTGGCGGGGAGCTGAGAACTTGTTTTAGGCACAATCAAAACTCTGTTTACCCGAGAGGGGCCGAGATCACTTTTTATTGACTTGAAAAAGGCAATATTAAGCTACCACTTATTGCTCCTCATACAAAAAGTTTAAATGAAGATTGATAAGCCTCAAGGGGAAAGCATCTCTATTTTTTTATGATAAAACTTTCAAGAATTGGATTTTTTCTTTCTCAAAAATACTTATGTACTTAAATCAAAATGACAACACAACCTGAGTAAATTTTTTGTCTTATTCAGTTTCAGACAAATCATTACTATTCAACCTGAGACGGCAAAATAGAGGTTTAAAAAGTTCTTAATAACTGCAAAAAAGAAGATCTGGTATCATTGCCAATGAGACAACTCTCCACAAGAGACCAAATGACACAGAAATTAACTTCTAAAGGTCACCGTACGGCCTTCAACAATGCGCGAAGCCCATACCACAAAGTCAGTTATAAAAGGCCCCAAAATGACTAATGTACAACTATTCAAACAAGAAAACTAACGGCCTTATTTATGTAAAAAAAAAACTGAACGAAAAACAAATATGTAACACATCAACAAACGACAACCACTGAATTAGAGACTCCTGACTTGGGGCAAGCACATACATACAGAATGTGGCGCGATTCAACATGTAAGCGGTATCTCAACCCTCCCCTATCCTGGAATAGTGGTGTAACAGTACAACATGAGAACGAACTTTAAAAACTGGTAAGAATTGTGTTTTATAAGGCAAGCTCTAAATTGTTTATTTATGGTTTTTATGCATTTGAGATTACAGTCAATATGTTGACAATAGGCTGATATGAAAACTGTTGTTATGGTATTGATATTATATAAAAATGCTTAGTTACTGATCTTTTCGACTCGACATTCGACATTTAGAGTTATACTCTGAGGCAACTGTTCGTCTTGTAACGCTGCAAACTGTACTTAGCAATATTTTAATCGGTAATTATTTAATGACATTATAAGACGAGTAATGTTACAATGTTTCCTTATAAACCTCATGTGCATTTCTCAATGATAAAGGGTTTAGACTGAAATACAATTCAAAAAACCTTTTTTCAAATAGAATTATGTGAAATGACCAGTTTCGAAAATTTGCACTTCATTGCACTTTAATCATATGATAACAATAACAGTAGTTTAGACTGGTTTCTATAGTTGAATATACCAGATTTCCAGTAGTAAAACTAATTACGTTTTTTTCTTTTTATTATATCTACATTTTTGCATAATTTATCAGTAAAAATGCACTATTAGGCACCAGAAAATGTTATTAAATGCTTTACAGGGTCTGTGTATTGTAATTAAAGGTTATCATCAGATGTTATGTCCATATTAAGACTAGTGAAGGTAAACTGTAAGAAATTAATTATGCGTACACATTGTATTCAGAATGAATAAATATAGCGTTAAAAGGGTCATTGCCTTATGGTGCTGAAACAACTTTTTTTTCCAGAAATGGACAAAAATACACAGATTTATTCAGAAGGTCATACAGATGAAGATCACACAAGAGTATTTGAAAACATCAGAACTATGGATTTCAATATTGGTCAATATCCCTAATGCGCCTCAAATTGAGGAACACAAAAGTTGTGTGTAAACAAGTAATTGAACTTAACCATTTATGTTTATTTGGAAAGAAGAGGAACATAGAATAAATTTGTAAAATCTATAGAGCTATAAAATGTGTTCATAGTATTAAATTTTTTAAGAACTTATTGTGTTACAAAAGGGATTTTTTACCACGAGGAGCCGCATTACGAAAGGATTTTCGGGATATAGATATAAGAAGATGTGGTATGAGTGCCAATGAAACAACTCTCCATCCAAGTAACAATTTATAAAAGTAAACCATTTTAGGTCAAGGTACGGCCTTCAACACGGAGCCTTGGCTCACACCGAACAGCAAGCTATAAAGCGACCCAAAATAACTAGTGTAAAACCATTCAAACGGAAAAACAACAGGTCTAATCTATATAAAAACGAGAAACGAGAAACACTTATGAACCATATGAACAGAAGACAACTACTGAACATCAGATTCCTGACTTAGGAGGACAGGTGCAAACAATTGCAGCGGGATTAAACGTTTAATGGTACAAAACCTTCTCCCTTTTCTGAAACAATAGTAGAACCTCACAACATATTTAGAAAGACACACTATAAAATATCAATTGGAAGGCTTAACTCAATCAAAAACGTAGTTACACAAATTAACACACAATGAACGAATAAATGTGATCTGTGATACAATGCAAATACATAGTTGATAAAAATAATATGTTAATTTCGCCAAAAATGTAAAAATAAATTTGCATAACAGTGAAAAGTCAGGAAAAAAAGTATATATATACATAGCGTTCACAAGGTGATGTTTTGCTACCAATTGGTGAAAATAAAGCAAAGTCCATAACTCATGTTAAACGTTTCAATGTAAGTTGTGGTGAAGTTAGCAATTAGAAGAATGTATCAGTATCATTAAAATGGACATACATGGTAAAAATGCCGTAGCAAATGTCTAATTAATATGGCGGTACCCGTACAGCATGGACATCTAAAAACTGATGACAAATAATTTGTCCAAACAATTTGTTTTTTTCGGTCAAATAAACCTATAGGCGTATCGATCAGAAGATATAAAAGGCATCAGTGATACGAGGTTCAATAAATCGGATGAAAAATAGCAAATCAATATGGTGAACAAAGTGTTCAGACGTTGATAATCAATCTCACTATGTGCTTCGCAGTAAAAGAGGGGCGAAAGATACAAGAGAGACATTCAAACTCATAGATCGAAAATAAACTGACAACGCCATGATTTAAAAAGGAAAAAAGACAAACAGACAAACAATAATACAATAATACACAATACACAACAAAGAAAAATGAACACTAAGTAAAACAACCCCGACCAAAACCTGGGGATTATCTCAGGTGCTTCGGAATGTAATCAGATCCTGCTCCACATGTGGAACCCGTCTTGTTACTCATGTTATTACAAACCCGGTAAAAAGTCTAATTCGGTAGGTCCCATTCGTGAAAAGGGAGCGGGATTTAAGTTACGACATTCCGAACATATCCGGTATCATCTGTGCAACGGATATTCCGTAACAGTCAACCAACTCGTTATGGCGACCGTAAAATTTACGAAGGGACAACCTCAACATATGAAACTCTTGATTTAATAGCTTCCTTATGAGCAATAAATGTCATTGAGATGATTTAACATCGTGTTATTCCCCCACCATTATAATTAGTACATCAAGTGAACTCAACATAAGAACGTGAAGCAGACTAACAAAAAAGGCAACAGTAGTAAACCGCTGTTTAACAGTCATAAATCGAGTAAGCCGAGATACAAACTAAACCCGAGTGAACCACATGATTATAAGAGAAAAAAAAACGGCATAACAGAAACACTTAACTGCAACAGAAACAAACGCTAAATTACTTAGAAACAATTATTTGATAACAACTGCTATATTCCTGACTCAGTACAGGATATTTTAAAGAAAATTATTGTGGGTTGTATTGAACCTGATTTTATGGTTTTTTTCATCAGTGACATTCATTTCAAAAAGTTGAAAAAACCTCAATCACTGTACGAAGTTAAAGAATATTGAGTACCCAAAATTCCGAAAGTTATGCTATGCTTTGGTAAAATAGACAAACCAGAACATTACTTTCAAAATGGTTAGGGCACCACATTCTTAATAAGCAATGAATCTTCAAATATTTTGGCCTTGAGCATCACTGAAGAGACAATGATTGTCGAAATGTCCATCTGGTGCAGAAAAAATGATACCGTTTATGTTATCACTACCACTGGGTCGCTGCCTCTGATTGTTGACTGATAGTACGCGAGGGTATCACCATCACATTAGCCAGTACCGGCATATACATACGGATTGTGTGTTACTAAAATTTGCTGTTACAAAATTTGTGTTATTACTTAAAATTAAAGAATGTATCTCCCTCATGCAAGGCTCTGATTCCTTTCCCGGTGTTGGCTATACTTTTATTGTCCTTTTTTGTTTTTAGCTCTTTATCCTTTTGATAAGCTTTGGATTTTCAAACATTTTGGCCTCGAGCATCACTGAAGAGACATTGATTGTCGAAATACGCATATAGTGCAGAAAAAATGGTACCGTTTATATTATCAATGTTTCGATAGAAATGCACTAAAATTTGACTTATTACGGATGTGTACTTGTATTAGTACTGCAACTGACCTCGAAAAAGACGCTTAGTTAACGAGTTTAATGTTCCGGAATAACACACGACTGCAAATGGTTTTAAATGATAGAATAATATCTATACTTTAATTTCCGTCTGGTCGTAAAAAGTTTCTTTGGTCTCATTTTTGTATTTTAACCCTTTAATGGGGTACCCCTTAATTTACGGTTTTGGGTAGTTACCTTAAAATCCCAAAACAAAATTATTTTGTTAAATTTCCGGCTCTTTTCGTAAATATTTTTGATGCACATATCATCAAGGATCATCGGAATGATGAAGACATAAATATATCACCATCCCCGAGTAAAACTCTCAAACTTAAAGTTTGCAGTTTTTTAGATTGAAATTTAACGCATTTTTCTTTGAAAACGAGAAAACATATGATTCAAAAACAGTATTTGACATTTGAGAGGACAAAATATATCATTGCGATACTGCATGCAAATTTTGTGGGGCAAATTCCAAACAATTTTGTCAAAAACTCAAAAATAAAAACATCATTTATACCTTTTATTATTACGGCAATTTCATATCCGTCAATCAGCTCCATCATTTATTTTTTCCTTCACATTGAATTTGATAGTTTCAATGTGATTATGTTCATTTTCTTGGATAAGTTAAATAATTCTAAGTTTTTTGAAGTGTGATTTGATTATATATAGTAGTTCTTTCGTGTATTTTGTGTTAATAAGTTATATTTTTGTTGATAAAATTTTGACTTTTTATAAAATTTAACCAAATCCTTCAGATAAGATGTTTTTCCGTATAATGACTAGTTGTGGAAGTCCTACTAGTCCCAAAAGGAGAAGGCTTGATATTGTGTGGAACAAATACATTGTATGTCAATGTTCAACCTCAAAGCAATTAATATGCAAGCGGTCGGGGAAAAAAGTACAATTGATGTTTCGCACAAATTTTGTGTGTGACAAGGTGATGCTACAACTAACATCTCTTGATATTCTGCTTTCCTTGGACGAAAGATTTGTGAATCATCAGTGATGTTATTAGTCCTTCACCAGAAGGCAAAATTGTAGCGTTTATAAATTAGAAACAACAGAAAGCCAAATATGTGATCAATCTGATGCACATGTATCCTCACAACCTGACACTTTTATACGATCTCGCGCTCAGTTTCCTCCTTGTAGTTTGGATATCAAAACATATTTTTTGTGTAAAAGCAAAACCTTTAAAAAGAACAGAAAACTACACAAAATTGAGTCGCCTGAACGTGTTGACATTCTTTTGAGGTGTGATAATGTGAGTAATCATTTATTCATGGTAAAAATCGCGAGTACAGATTTATTTTCAAATGCAGTCTACTTTTCAGCATGCATTACCAAGTACTTATTGAAGTCAACACTTGTGCAATCAGGTAAAGCAGTTACTGAAGAATTAGAATATAAACTTGCTTTCAATTAATTGAAAACGATTGTTAATGATGATATGTTCGTCCATAAAAAGGCCTTTCTCATGTAGCACATCCTCGACATATACCGATCACTTTCACCCAAGAATGTCTCTGATGCTTACCCAACTGCCAAACTCCAGAACAAACTAACTAGTTATTATGACACCTTACAATTCAGACACAGCGGGGACAAGGGATGTCAATAATAGAGTTTAGCTCTGAGCTCACTATAGGGGATGCCATATCAGAAGGAGAATTGAAGTCTATGTTTTGTCTTTCAGAATTACACCAAGGTGTGTTTGAAGATATCAAGGATACATTAAATGAAGAACAATTACTTCACTCTGCCGTTAGCGCTCTTAGAAGCTCTGTCCTCGTTGGGTGCTTCTATGGAAAAGATGTCCGCATCGCTTTTTAAGTCCATTTGTTAGTTAATTGGTGAAAAATCAAACAAAGTCGCTTCTGAACCGTATATTGACCCTAAAGATAAAAAATTCGCAAATGTATGGCTATTACAAAATCAATCGTTTCTGTAGCAAAATCAACATTCGCCCATTACATTTGGGATTGGCCGTGCAGTTATATAACGAATATTGGGATATGGGTCATGAACATTGATATAAACTTTTTACTCACATGGCTTTTGTGTTTCCTATGCAGAGGCAAGACTATACCTGACAAGCATTGCCATGCACGAGTTTGACCGAATCGAGACGGTATAAACGCTCCAGATGGCATTGTTTCAAAACACCAAGGGGGGTGTTTGATACAAAAAGGTACAGACGATATAGTCATCAACAAGGAGACAATTGATAGTAAGGAACGTTTCATTCCATGGACCAAGAAGACCGGGAAGACAAAAATGGATAAACCCCAACATTTTTCAAGGGATAACTGTCATCAGATTACTTACAAGATTGACTTTGTACCTGCAAAGGTAAATCTTTGTGCTCAAAAGCTGAGTTTGCTCTGAACAAACTCTGTCCTTCACCGAACTTGCTTGTGTCATGAAAGGGATGTGTGTTGTAATGCAAATACGCGTACCGAATCCGCATACGATGACGAAGAGATTGATCCATATCCCTATTTAATGAAGACTAGAGCTATTGCATGTAGCTTTTAAAATACAAGTTATATAAGGGTCTTGGCCGATTTTAAATTACAGCATTAGCAAATTGGCATTATATTGTATTTTCCATTACTTCCCTAAAAAATTGATGAGTTTACAGTTTGTTTTACATTCAATCAACTGCTAAATCAATGCAAGTAACACTTATGATTTTTTTTAAACCTCGCATTCGCCTCGGTTGACTATGATATTTTTTGTGTTATAACTGATCTGTCCGGACTTTGCAAATACACAATATTTATTTATCTATAACTAGATACTAATTTTCCCAAAATACATAACCTTTTAGATGCTAAATTAAAAACACTGTTTCAGCGCTTGAATTTTGTTTTTTTTCAGAGATAGAAAAAATATTGAAATAATTTGATAAACTGGTGTTTTATAGTTTAGATAATAATTCTGTAATATACTGTAGTGAAAAATTATAAGAAATATGAAAGTTAATGGATGTAAAAAGGTCAAGGCCACTTCTACTTTTGCTATGTCATAAATGGAAAAAAATCAGAAGGTTAAAAATCAACGCCATTTTGTAATAGCAGCTCTTCATATGAATAGTCAAATTTATAGTTTTAACATCCTTTGCAGCATATGCTTATGATTGAATCGTTTTTGTAGCATTCTAATGAATAAATATCAGAAATTTTCTGCTTTTTGTCCTTGTGGTTGAAATATTGATATCTTTAGGCCTGACCTTTGACCCCAATTTCACAAAAATGTGACCACTCTGGAATTTTACGACCAAACTTTTCTTATTGTAAACGTTTTTCTCTTTCCATCGATATATAATTTAGGTGTGTGTTCTTCCGGTACATTAAAGTTTAAAAAAATTAGCTCTGGTTGCAGTACTAATAAGCAACAAAAAGGGTGCCACACAAGGAACAGAGAACAGCTAATCATTCAAATGCACCAGAATTCATCCACGATATGTAAGGTGTGTGATGTTCAATTATTGGTTTTCTTTGTCCTTTTCGCTGTTTTTATCTTCAGCCATGTGTCATATGTTCTCATTGGACTTTTTCATTGTCACCCAGAATAAATATTTTCTATTTGAACATTACTGATCATTACTTTAACGTAGTTTTTTTCCTGCACAAACATATTATTCTAAAATTTTATTTTGAAGTGACACAAATATAATCAACGAATATTTAATCGATTGGCATTTTGAATAACAGAAGACGATACAATGAATTATTCTCTATGACCTTGTTATGCAGATATTCTGTACACTTACTTTGCTTGCAGAGCAAGAGCAATTATCCCAGATGCTATTGGTACTGAGAATGATGTTCCCTGGTTACCATTGGTGTTACACTCATCGGGAGTTGAAGTAGTAGTCTGTGAAAAACACATATGAGGATAACAATTTTGATGGAAATCAAAGACACAGATACAGTGTATACATTATTGTTCATCAATATGTTTGCTGTGAAATGTGTAATACTGTATTGAGTTTAAATTGTGTCACTAAATTAGAATATATAAAGTAATTCGTTTATAAAAAAAAGTCTTAAATTTGACCGGGAATACTGAACATGTTATTTAATATATATATATATGTATTTATATGTGGTCGGAATTATATGATGTAGTACTTTGATACTAACTAAATATCTATCTTCCTTGCTTCCACCATATGTTGCAGCCAAAGCAGGAGCACAAACTTCGGAGTAATACGCATTTTGTCCAAGTTGTACGCTAGTTACAGCCACAGTATAAATACTATTGACGTATCCATCAGCATTACAGTTGTCGTTTGTACCTCCATTACCTGCAGCCCATATATAAATAGCTCCTTTACCATTTCTACCCTTGAAAGTTTTGAAAATATTAAAATTTACCTCAAGTGATTAAATATGTAATTGTTTTCATGAATTGTTTCCTTTATTTTCTCTTAGTGTCAGTAGTTTTACTTAATTTAATAACAATTCAATTATGCTAATTTTGCCGTTTTTTTAAATGCCGACCTGGTTTTTGTCATGCTTTTTCCCGATGCAAATATAAATATGACGCCTTTACCATTCCTACCCTGCTCCGAAAATAAATTTAATTATAGAAAGCAGACTTGAAGCAGATTTTAGGTTGATTAATTTGTCCAAATGAAAATATTGTTATTCATTTCATTTGTGAAATCGTTCGTGCAAGTTGTCTTATTTTTCGACTTTTAAAGGACATTGATGTTTTGAGTTGATAGTTTCATTCATACTTATTACACATATTTTTGAAAACAAAATGACAGACCTGTACCGAATAGAATATACAAAGTACATTTTGATTTTATGGAGAATGATATTTTTTGAAAAAAAGTATTTAGAAACATAATATAACATGTATAAAGCACACTATACCTAATCAGAGAATTAAATTTATAAGTATCAACGATTGATATCAACTTAATTTTTTACTATTTTAAGAATTGAACGAACACGAGTCAATTATTTATGCATGCAATAGTTGATGTGTTGTGCCACACTGTTCATTATTATTGATAATATATATTATGTAGGGTTTGTTTACCTTACAAACGAACAGTTTTCAAACATTTTAGAGAACAAAGCACTATATAATACACTATACATTTACTCAAAGTGAGAACTACACCTAAAGAGTAAACAACCATTGCCTACACTTACATTTTGAACTCCTGCTTTAAGAGCTTCTTTTGTTAGAGTTCCAGGTCCAAAAAATCCGTACCCCTCTGGAGGGCCCCAGCTATTAGAGTATATGTCTATTTTATTTATATGATGATTGAGAGCTTGTGCTTCCTCTGAATCTGTTAATCCATGGCTGCCAAGTAAACGTACGCCTAAAATAGCGGATACACATCACTTTACGTTTGGTTTAAGACAGTTGTCATACAAAACAATGATTCATAGATCAAGGCTTTCTTCAACAGTATCACTTTCAAATAAAAAATCAAGGGGAGTAAAACATTCATGTTTCCGAATGTGCATATTTTGCCAAAACATGTTTGTGTTAACACAGACAGTTTTATTGTAATCAATCGTCGAACATTCTCGTTCAGTTGGTAAAGCGTAAGACAGAAATCGACCTCATGCAAATGAATATTAAATACACTCATCACAGATACCAGGATACAATTTTGTATTTACGCCAGACGCGCGTTTCGTCTACAAAAGACTCATCAGTGACGCTTGAATCCAAAAAAGTTAAAAAGCCCAATTAAAGTACGAAGTTGAAGAACATTGAGGACCAAAATTCCTAAAAATTTTGCCAAATGCATCCTATTTTTGTTTGAAAAAAAATCAATAGTGAATATGTAGCTATTTAAAATTTATTTGATGTAAAACCCTACAAAGAGACTAAAATTCATATTTAATTTTGTATTTTGTATTTGAATGTTTAAAATTCGATAGATCATATATATCAGTCATATATATATGTAAAATTGAGAATGGAAATGAGGAATATGTCAAAGAGTACAAAGTTAAACAGTTGCATTGGGTAGACTTCTATATGATGCAGCTTATATAACGTTGATTTACTGAAAACCAAAAGAAAAAAAAACCAATGATGACATATTTTAACGAACATAATCAATACATCACTGGTAAATTATAAAGTCAGGAATTTTGTTACCATAAATTACTTAAAACTTTTACTAAATTCGTTCATAGATACAAAGATTTGATTAGTAAATTTGACTGTACCTGTAAACCTGTGACTGTAGAAAACTTTACGGTTATATTGTACTTAAAGCGCAGAAATCACTTTATGTGATCCGTATTAACTCATCGAACCTTTAAACAAACTTATTAGTAAATTTTATCTTACCAATGTTGTAATTAGATCTTTAAATATAGTTTACATTGGCACAAATATCGATTTTGTCATCAGCAAATTAAAACATAACTAGATTTGTATTCTTTTCAAACGGAATGCATGTCGACAAATCCACGTTTATTATTTCTAGAAAGATGTTAACTTCTAACTATCATACTGCCTGTCGATACATTTATTTTTGGCATTGCACTAGTCATGTCTTCTGTGACTGTCCATGACGTTAAAATACTACATCCCTAGTATTTGTTTTTGTTGATTTCAGTCTCTGATGCATGATTTTTTTTATTAAGTCGCCAAAACGGAGTTTCGGGGACTTTATGTTTTTGTCCCGTTTCTTATAAAGTCGCCAAAACAGAGTTTTGGGGACTTTATGTTTTTATCCCTGGGGTCATTTTTCGAATGGAAACAACAAAAATGCGAAAAATCTAGATTTGGTCCAATCTTTATGAAACTTGACAGTAATGTGACCTGTCATGTGTAGATGTGCCAGTCGACTTTTGAATTTTCAAAATGGCTGCCGTTACCATGGAAACTGCAAAAATGTCAAAAAATTTAAAATGCTTCAAACTTAATGATACTTTACACAAATGTTGACTGTCTTATGCAGATGTGGCATTTGACTTTGGAATTTCCAAAATGGCCACCGTAACAATGGAAAAACGAATGCCTTACTTTGAAAATTGGTCCAATTTATATGAAACTTGTAAGTTATGTGACCTGTCACGTGTAGATGTGATATCCGACTTTGAAATTTCAAAATGGCTGCCGTTACCATGGAAACAGCAGAACAATGGTTGGGGGCCGTTTTGGCGACTTTTGTGTTAGCATCCTAAAACAGGATTACTTGTTATTAAGTCGCCAAAACGGAGTTTTGGGGACTTTATGTTTTTGTCCCGTTTCTTATTATTATTATTATTATTATTATTATTATTATTATTATTATTATTCTTAACCCTAATTTGTCCGAACATTTTCTTCCAAGCCTTAAATGATGGAAACTTTATATTTGGTATGATGATGGGGTAGTATCCCTAGGTGTGCATTCAGTATTTTTTATTTCAAATGGGGGTCAACTTGGCATTTTTTGGGGGCCGGAACATGGGTGGGGTAATTTTGCGACTATTGATTCGCTACTGGTAGAACCTTTAAGTTTTGTGTAATACAAGAGACCGATGTCCAGGTGTCCATTCCACATTTTTTATTTCGGCCGGGGGTCATCTTGGCAATATTTTAGGGGGTCAATTTTCATGAAACATTCTAGAACAACAGTCATGTGATTAGTCATGTGATAGTGTTGAATTATTCCTATGTACTTTTTATGTTATATAATGATAGATTATTACAGGTAGCATCATATCTAGCTGTAATTCGACTTTGGAATTTTTAAAATGGCCTCCGTTACCATGGAAACTGCAAAAATGTGAAAGTTTTTTAAAATGCTTCAAATTTAATGAAATTTTACAGAGATGTTAACGAGTGTATGTTGATTTCGAATTTGACTTTGGAATTTCCAAAATGGCCATCGTTGCCATGGAAACAACAAAAATGCGAAAAATGTAGATTTGGTCCAATCTTTATGAAACTTGACAATAATGTGACCTGTCATGTGTAGATGTGCCATCCGACTTTGGAATTTTCAAAATGGCTGCCGTAACCATGGAAACTGCAAAAATGTCAAAAAATTCAAAATTCTTCAAACGTAATGAAACTTTACACAAATGTTGACTGTCTTATGTAGATGTGGCATTTGACTTTGGAATTTCCAAAATGGCCACCGTAACCATGGAAACAGGAATACCTAAATTTGAAAATTGGTCCAATTTTTATGAAACTTGTAAGTAATGTGACCTGTCACGTGTAGATGTGATATCCGACTTTGAAATTTCAAAATGGCTGCCGTTACCGATGAAACAGCAGAACAATGGTTGGGGGCCGTTTTGGCGACTTTTGTGTTAGCATTCTTACACAGGATTACTTGTTATTATTATTATTATTATTATTATTCTTAACCCTAATTTGTCCGACCATTTTCTTCCAAGCCTTAAATGATGGAAACTTTATATTTGGTATGATGTTGGGGTAGTATCCCTAGGGATGCATTCGCTAGTTTTTATTTCAAATGGGGGTCAACTTGGCACTTTTTGGGGGCCGGAACATGGGTGGGGTCATTTTTCGAATATTGATTCGCTACTGGTAGAACCTTTAAGTTTTGTGTAATACAAGAGACCGATGTCCAGGTGTCCATTCCACATTTTTTATTTCAGCCCGGGGTCCTCTTGGCATTATTTCAGGGGGTCAATTTCATGGAACATTCTAGAACAACAGTCATGTGATTAGTCATGTGATAGTGTTGAATTATTCCTATGTACTTTATATGTTATATAATGATAGATTATTACAGGTAGCACCATATGTAACTGTAATTCGACTTTGGAATTTTCAAAATGGCCGCCGTTACCATGGAAACTGCAAACATGTGAATATTTTTTTAAAATTCTTCAAATTTAATGAAATTTTACAGAGATGTTAACGAGTGTATGTAGATTAGGAATTTGACTTTGGAATTTCCAAAATGGCCGCCGTTGCCATGGAAACAACAAAAATTCGAAAAATCTAGATTTAGTCCAATCTTTATGAAACTTGATAGTAATGTGACCTGTCATGTGTAGATGTGCCATCCGACTTTGGAATTTTCAAAATGGCTGCCGTTACCATGAAAACTGCAAAAATGTCAAAAAATTTAAAATCCTTCAAACTTAATGATACTTTACACAAATGTTGACTGTCTTACGTAGATGTGGCATTTGACTTTGGAATTTCCAAAATAGCCACCGTAACCATGGAAACACGAATGCCTAACTTTGAAAATTGGTCCATTTTTTATGAAACTTGTAAGTAATGGGACCTGTCACGTGTAGATGTGATATCCGACTTTGAAATTTCAAAATGGCTGCCGTTACCATGGAAACGGCAGAACAATGGTTGGGGCCGTTTTAGCATCCTAACACAGGATTACTTGTTATTGCTGGTTATGGCTTTTAACTAGCTGTCAGTAACTGCGAGTAATCTCAAATCGTACTTTCTTGTTTATATGACCTGTTGATACTATTTGTAATGCTTTTTTTTGGTTATTTAATGTTTACTTATTCAGGGTAATATGTCTTCATTATACCAGCTTTGATAAGTCTTTGGTATGACTATAATTTGTCACTTCTTCGTACTATAAACAACAAAATTATTTATTTTGTAAAAACGTTTTCCTTTCTCCATTTTAATGGTAGACCTTACAACAAAATAAATTTCCCTTACCTTTGTATATTTTTGTATTTATGGCTTTTTAATCAATGTTATCATTCTTTTTTTTTATTGTTTAATATCTCACACCGATATACTACTGTTACCTTTATTTTTTCACTCCTTATTTTACATTGTACACAAATGTTGTATCACAGATCAAATATTTTCGTTTAGTATATGTTCATTTGTGTTAATATGTCTGTTGATTGAGTTATGCCATTTCAACTGATATTTTATAGTGTGTCGTTCTATTTTAAGATGTTGCACTATCGTTTCAGATTAGAGTGAAGGTCGGTACCTTTTGAAACGTTTAAACCCGCTGCATTAGTTTACACCTGTTCTAAGTCAGGAATCTGATGTTCAGTAGTTGTCGTTGGTTGATGTGGTTCATAAGTGTTTCTCGTTTCTCGTTTTTTATATAGATTAGACCGTTAGTTTTCCCGTTTAAATGGTTTTACACTAGTAATTTTTCGAGCCCTTTATAGCTTGCTGTTCGGTGTTTGCCAAGTCTCCGTGTTAAAGACCGTTCTTTGACTTATAATGGTTTATTTTTACAAATTGTGACTTGGATGGAGAGTTGTCTCATTGGCACTCATACCACATTTTCCTATATCTACAAACAGATATTGTTGAATATTGCAAAACATTTGGATTTCCTTGATTTGTGTGCCACTGATGAGTTTTATTTGTATACGAAACGCATGTCTGATGTTTCAAATTACATGTGTACGGCTTATACCTTTTATTGTAGAACTTTGACATCAAGTATTATTTCAAATATCGTATATAAAAATAAGGAGATGTGGTATGATTGTCAATGAGGCAACTATCCAACAAAGTTCAGATTAATTGGATGTAAGCAATCATAAGCGACATTACGACCGTCAACAACGAGAATTCCATATACCGTAAAATCAACTGTACAAAAAAAATCAGACATGAACATTTTGAATAATTAAGATTCTTTTAAAAACTTGGGCAATCGTAGATATATGTCATGATAAAAAGTATTGAATGCCCTTAACCTAGACAATATTATTTCACTCAACCTTGCTCAGCTGAGTTGCTACCTATCGTGAAAACGATGGATATTTGTTAACTTATGATATTCAAATATCACTACTTTTACACACAATTCCTATATTGAGTCTCTTACATGAAACAATATCCGAAAACTTTGTTTTGCCTGTTAGATATTCAGAAATACTTGAAATCCGTGCAGTGTATTATTTGAAATAAGATACAAACATGACTAAGGGGAGACTAAACTTACCAACTATAGAAGAATGATGTGCTACACCAACAATACACTCGTTATTGTCTTTTTCTGCTGCTATGAGTCCTGCAACTTTTGTTCCATGACTAAAAATATATAATTAAATCTATGATAAAATTAACAATGGAAATGGAAATATGTTTCAGAGAAAATACCCCGACCAACGTTCAGATAATAGCCGAAGGCCAACAACGGGCCTTCAACAGAGGGAGAAAATCCGTCAGCTGGCCGCTAAATAAAAATGTGGACTAGTTCAGAGAAAATAAACGTCATACTTAACTCTAAATCATATAAATGCACTACAAAAGAAAAACATGTTAAACATCGTACATGTATTGTCCAAAACAAATAAAAAAAAACAAACTAAAAACTCAAAAATGAAGCAATTGTGTTATAAATATCACCAGAACTGACATTTAATTAATGTTTTGCTGTGGTATATGAAATGAGATTCATCATCAGTGTCGTGTGAACTACATATAAACTATGCATACTAATAAATATTCACCTGCTTCCATAGGGAGGCATAGGATTGTTATCATCATCTATGTAGTCATAATCGTTTACTGTGTCCTGAAAAAGTTAGATGTACAAATGTTTTTTTTGTCAATCTTAAATGTCAGTAATAATGACTTTTACAATCAATTCATATATAATTTTAAGACATGTGCCACACTTTATAGTTCTCAGTTAACCTGCATCAAACATCGGTTGTCAAAATTGTTGATTTACACTATATGATGACTTGCACTGTACTTCCTTATTGGCCGAGTAAATATGAAATACATATGAGTAACTTACTACATTTGAAACAAGATCTAGATGATCAGTCTGTAAACCATCGTCGAGGATAGCAATCTTTATACCACGTCCGGTGTAACCAGAATTCCAAGCTTCATTTATCTGCATTGAAGGTGAGATTTCACCATTCTGAAAAAGATTACGTGCTTTATTTTGTATTCATAAACAAGTCCATGACACACCTGTATATATATTAGGAGATAAAAAAAGAATATGAAACATACACTTTGAAATTTTTTTTTCTGGATTTATCTTTATCAAAAACGCAGGATTTACAGATATTGAGTATGTCTTTGTGACATATTTACTTGTATTTGTAGTGATTAAACTCATAACACAATGTTGACTGCTGTAGCCCTATTTTTGACATTTTTACCTATTATGTCTGTTTGAATTGTTGACACATAGTTGTCAATATAATTAATGCGAGTGATATACAAGTGGGAGGTTTAACTAGCTATAAAGCCAGGTGTAATCCACCATATTTTACCAAGTCAGGAAAATGGCCATTGTTATATTATAGTTCATTTCTGTGTGTATTACATTTTAATGTTGTGTTTTTTGTTGTGTCGTTGTTCTCCTCTTATATTTGATGCGTTTCCCTCAGTTTTAGTTTGTAACCCGGATTTGTTTTTATCTCTATCGATTTATGAGTTTTCGAACAGCGGTGTACTACTGTTGCCTTTATTTACAGACGAAAATGCCTATACAAAGTCAGGAATATGAAAGTTTTTTTGTTTTCTTTTTAACGATAACAAATATTTTATTCAATCATTTCCTGATATATAAATACCTAAGTAACCCAGGTCGCATAATTAGGGACCCCTGTATTTTAACAGCCTCACTTGACCAGGGAAAAAATCAAATGAGTTTATACAATAGTTTTACATACATAATTATATCTAAATAACCAATACAATTGATTTTCACCTGATATGCATCACTGTATAAAATCACTATCGTATATCCGGTTCACTGAACAAACATGTGTTGATTTAAACTGGAAAAACTATATATTTGATTGCGAAAAATAAGTTATAGTTTGAATTGGAAATTATTGATGTGAGTGAACAAAAAATTAAATTATTCTGTAATAAGCATATGGATTATAAAAAAGGATAAAGCACATGTGGTGAGTACTAATGTTTTAAGAAGCATGATATACGTGGTAATTTACTAATGTACCTAATATGGATAGACATAGATTCAAATATTGATTACAATAAAAATATTGGTTTTATTTCTGTAAAAATAACATATTGTTCACTACTTTATTCCCAAGATACAATAAGATTAATTTATATGGAATCGAACACACCTTTCGTTTAGAGCAGTAGAACTAAGTACATCTTCCTATATTTTTTCGATAAAGAGTTTAATATTCGTTCTGCATATATACTTTATATCCGAGCGTAGCAAGAGTACTATTAATTCGTTTTTCATGTGCAGTTTTAGCAAAGCCTGTATAGACTGCATATTCAGTTTAATTTTATCGAATTTGTATTTATTATGTATTTTCCAAATATCCCATTTAAAATAAAGTATTATTGCATTAACAATGGTATTATGCGATTTTTCTGTACAAATTCCTAATAAGATATCTTTTTCAACGAGAACCTCGTCATTGATAAGGTTACAAAGTTGTAAATTTCTAACAACCGTTTCTATCAATGGTTTAACATTATTACATTGATAAAATAAATGCTCAAGAGTTTCAATATTATTGATTTCATCACATAAGTGACATTTTCCATTTGACATATGCATTATTTGCAGTCTGTTTTCTGTATATATAATCCTGTGTATACATTTCCATTCAAATTCTTTAACTTTTCTATTAATATCCATTTTAATTAGATTTAGCCAAATTTTTTCCCAATTTATATACTCGCTATACAAATTTTCCCATTTTGTTTGACACTTAGGGGTCTCAGTTATGTTAATGTTTAATTGAAGATATTTTAATGTCAAATCCTTGATTTGAATGATTTTATTATCTGGATTTAGAAATTCAAGGTTTTCAGAAATTTTGATTTTGTGGCTTTTTAAAGCAGGGTGATCATCGTTAATTTTTAGAATCTGCATCATTGTTTGTGGTATGGAACTTTTAACTCGTGAATATTCCGAAATACAATTACGTTTATCTACTAATTGTCAATATATTGCATTGCACGATTTAGAATCTTTGGTATTATTGTCCCATATATCACCAATAGTTTTTATCTGACTTTTTGAAAAGAAAGAATAAAATAAAGATTTGCCCTGAAATAAAATATTTGAGTTTCCAAATAATCGCTGTTTATTTACTTCCATTTCGTTAAATATACCCTGTGTGATCTTTGTCAATTTTGACCACGATTGTAAAGCGCTTTTGTAATAATTTGGTATGTTTTTTATCTCAAGACCTGAAAGGTCAGAACATTTACACAGAAAAAGTTCATTCGCAAATTTCTTATCACATTTTTTTAACCAAAATTTACCTATTGCATTCCAACTAGATAATGGCTTATGTAATATCGAATATAACGATTTGATATATTTACTTTCTATCCAACTATCTAAATTTACCATCCCCATGCCCCCTTTTTAACATCTGAACAACAAACCTTCCGGTCTACTTGATTCACTTTCCCATCCCAAATAAAATCCCATATTATCTTATTCAATTCTTTTTTGTATTTTTCAGGTATGCCTCTTATTTCTAACTCATAACCACACACTGGTATAATTAAATTTTTAACAATAAGGACTTTTCCAGAGTAAGTCAACTTTCTACTTTTCCAGATGTGTACCCAATTATGTACTTTTTCTAATATTGATTTCCAAATTTTGTCATTATCAATGTTATAACCATGGTGAATACCTAATGTTTTTATGCTATCTGTTGTCCAGTTTATCTTTTTAAAAGTAGGACGTCTGCGTTTATTTGCGCCAACCAAAATTTGTCTAACCAAAATTTACCTATTGCATTCCAACTAGATAATGGCTTATGTAATATCGAATATAACGATTTGATATATTTACTTTCTATCCAACTATCTAAATTTACCATCCCCATGCCCCCTTAGTAACATCTGAACAACAAACCTTCCGGTCTACTTGATTCACTTTCCCATCCCAAATAAAATCCCATATTATCTTATTCAATTCTTTTTTGTATTTTTCAGGTATGCCTCTTATTTCTAACTCATAACCACACACTGGTATAATTAAATTTTTAACAATAAGGACTTTTCCAGAGTAAGTCAACTTTCTACTTTTCCAGATGTGTACCCAATTTTGTACTTTTTCTAATATTGATTTCCAAATTTTGTCATTATCAATGTTATAACCATGGTGAATACCTAATGTTTTTATGCTATCTGTTGTCCAGTTTATCTTTTTAAAAGTAGGACGTCTGCTTTTATTTGCGCCAATATTTATTCCCTTAGTCTTTTCGTAATTAATTTTAGAACCCGAGGCCTTTTTATATTTGTCTAATATTTCAAAAGATTTTTTAACAGAACTTTCATTTTTATTAAATAATTGCGTGTCGTCTGCAAACATATTCAATTTAGTTTCTATTAGCTCCCCATTTTCTTCCCCAGGCAATATAATGCCTTGAATGTCTTTTTCTGCCCTTATTGCACAGGCCAAGGGCTCTGCCTGTAATATATATAAAAAAGGGGCTATAGGACACCCCTGCCTGGCTGATCTAGAAATTGAAAAATATTTTGAGACGTAGCCATTTGTTTTAATACACGTCTTTGCACGTTTTAATAGCATTTGAACCCAACCACGAAAATTGTCCCCAAAATTAAATTCCTTCATAACGAAGTCTAGCCATCCCCATTCCATCCTATCAAAGGCCTCTTGTTGGTCTAAAAAGACAATTATACCCTCTTCATCTTCATCATCAATATATTTTATGATATCCTGTATCATTCTATTCGCTTCCGTTATATGTCTGCCTTTTACAAATCCTTTTTGGTCGGGATGAATAAGCTTAGGAAGGTCTATTTTTAATCTTTCTGCTAGTATTTTAGCTATAATTTTATAATCGCAATTCAGTAGTGTAAGAGGGCGCCAGTTTCGTATACTTTCTCGTTCCCCGCCTTTAAATAATAATGTTAGAACTCCTTTATATTGCGAGTTCGACAATGTTTTTTCTTTAAATATTTCTTGCAATAACGTACAAAATTCTTCTGGGGATTTATTTGTTTTTATAATTTTCAGAACTTTCACTATTTCCTCCGCGGTAATATCACGGTCTAGTAATGTTTTGTCGTCATCGTTTAGTTTGTTTTCGATGTGACTTGTTAAATCTTTAGCACTTGCTAAATGCCATCCCTCGGAGCTAAATAAATTTGAGTAAAAGTTAACTTGTTCATTTAGTATTTCGTCTTTATTGTATTTATAATGCCCATTATTTGTTTTCGTTCGACTCCATAATTTATATTTTCCGTTTTGCTTTTCGAGATTGAAAAAGTAGCTTGACGATTTTTCCCCTTCTTCCGCCCATTTTACACGCGCCCTTATTTTTGACGCCTCAGATTTGTTCTCATAGTAATTTTTAATTAGTGATTAATTTTCTGATAATTTTTTTCAACCTCCCCAGACGTAGTACTATTTAATTTGAGTTTTTCTAATTTCTTTTCAAGGTTTAAAATATAACTTTTTTGAGAATGTTTTAGGTTTTACTTACTTCCATCGTTAACTTTTTTATTTGTGATTTTGTTACATCCCAGCAATCTTGAATTTTTTCGAACCTATTTTTTTCATTTTTCCAGGTTTCCCACCAAATTTTAAATGCATTCCTAAATTCTTCACTTTTGATTGTATTTATATTCATTATCCATATACCCGGACCTCTTTGTATTTTATCAAGTTTTAATTTGAAAGACACAAGATCATGATCGCTAAAAGGACATTGCGCGATACCAACATTGTAAACTGTATTTGAAAGATGTTTATCACAAAAGATATAGTCGATTCTAGACTTAGAATTTCCTCTTTGAAACGTATACCGTTTATCTTTTGGATATCTGTCCCTCCAAATATCTGTTAGATCATATTGTGACAATAAAAAAGTAATTCCTTTGTACCAATGTCATCACGAGTATGAGATGGATTACTATCATTTGTTTTGTCAAGAGTACAGTTCAAATCCCCAACCAAAATATTGTAATGGTCTACACTATCGTCTGTAAAATTACCAAAAAAATTATGCAATGATTCAAAAAGCCGTTTCCTCTCGATGCCACTATTGTTGGCATATATATTTGAAATATGATAAATCGCACTTTCCGTTTTGATGCTACATTTTATTATTCGACCGTTTTGCGGGTTACTATTATCAAACACGACTTCGCCGGGACAATTTTTAGTTTGTAAAATAACGACACCACGAGAATCACTGGTTCCGCAATTCCAAACACTTTTATTGCCCTCTTTTATCTTCCATTCATTTTGCCATTGTGTTATATCATTTACTGTGCAATGTGTTTCTTGTAGACAAATTAAATCATATTTTTTATTAGCTAACCAATTGAAAACTAAATTACGTTTCTTTTTATCACGTAAGCCGTTTACATTCAAAGTTATGAATTGGATCGACATTCTTTAGTAGTTTTTTTTGAAAAGTACACGATTTGATTTACATTTTAACACCGCTATGCCTCGTTGATTTATTTGAAAGTTCACGATCAACGCCACCGTTTTAAGTTTACGAGTCATTGACCAATTATAACAATACACTTTTAGTGAACACATTTCAAATTGTCTACCTAAAATAATAACAATACAGATACATCGATACAGTTTGAAGTACAATAGATAGAAAAATAATCTATAATAATGATTCAAAAGCTGCAAATCAGTAAAATAAAATATATGTACAAATAACATTTTTATATTTATTTGTTTTTATTGTTTTACATAAAAAGTAGCAAATACGATAGTAATTTCGGTTTGTTTATTATCACTCATATTCATCTGAGGAACCTGGTTTATTTTGTTTACTGTCTTTCTCTGCAGACATTGGCGTCAGCGATATGTCACTAAGTTTGCGCTTGGTGTCACCAGGACGAGGAGTGTTCTGGATTGGTGACATCTTAGGGTGAAGAAATTCACGTAGTTTGACACGAATTGTTTGGGCCCCTTCAACTGTGATATGAACTCCACTAGCATCTGTTTTTACGTAAAGTGCCTTAACCAAGTTACTATTTTTTGCGAAGATATTTTCTACACAATATAGGTCAGCATCTTTGAGACACAATTTTTCCAAAAATTTATTAACATGTGTAGCTGTTTCATTAACTGTGTGAATATGGTGACTATTTCCTTTTCCCGGAATATACCACACACACCAATATCCGCATTCGGAAATGCTAGTTTAGCTTTGACAAGTGCCTGTGTTGCATAAACATTCACCTGATCACTGCCATTTTTTTTTTACTCAAGTCATTAGTACCTTACCTTATGACGACCTTGCCTACATTTGAGCCATTGCTTTTCACACGATGATTTTCAAAAACCGCACACAAACACTGATCTATTTTTTCTAGAGTGGCACCATTTATAGAGGCATTGATTAAATTGTCCTCAAATCGACCAACTCTCAAACAATTTGAAGCTCCTAACATTACATTTGTTCCCTTTGATTTGGTGTGGTATGTGTCAGGTGTTTGTAGATGGTTTGTTGCCACTTGTAAGGGGTCGATGGACTGACTTTCATTTTTGTCGTTTTCTTGAGCTTCTCTGTAATTGAGAATTTCGCTAGCATAATTACCATAAGACTTAATCAAAGTATGGTGTTTAAAGTCAGCGCAGTCATTACGGACATGACCGTTCTTTTTGCAGAAGGAACATTTGGATTCGTTAAGACAGTTTCGTGCAAAATGCCCAATTTCTGAACAGTTATAGCAGCGCTTACTATGATCTGTTTTTCTTTGCAAGCATAGGAAGGGTGGTTTCTTTGTTTACAATGAATACATTCTGTACGACCATTGTCGGCAAACATTCGGACATCATATCTACTAAATGTTGTTTTGTTTGGTATTGTCGGAGCACAATTAATGATTTGAATGTATCTTGAACCATTTTCTATATTTTTTCCTCGAATATATCCCCGCTTTACTGAACCCGGGACGACTTTGCCATACTGAAGCATTTGTGTAACTAGATAGCAGTCATTTAGTTCATAAGGAAGGTCTTTGATTGTTATGTTTGTTATTGTGTTTTCTACCAAAATAAATTTGACGCTTCTGTTTTTTCTTGTTAAATCACACTGTACTAACCTTTCTTTGGCATCTATGTCTTTTAAAGTTACAACACAGCTTTTTTCGGTCAATTGGATGGATTTAACACTCTCTAATTTTATTTGTTTTTCAAGTTCCTTTATTATTTGATCGTGTATTATTCGCTTAATACCACGAGTATAAAAATGAACCGATAGTGTTCTTTGTATATTGGCCATTTTGAAAAAAAAAACTAGTGAGTTGAATTCAGATGTCGCACAGATAAAATGTCAATAGAATTTCACTATCTCCTGTCTGAAAAAGTCTATAAACACAAGAAACACATAGCAAAATCCTCTATGCATACAAAAATAATTTGACTCCAAGACTGTTTTACAACAGAAAATCGATGATTTATCGGAGCTCAAAAACACACTCACTCTAAAAGCAAGGGACACAACACCTATTATGAATATAAAAGTTGTTTTCAACTCATTAGATGTGTTTGAGCTTTTGATTTTGCCATTTGCTAAGTGAGTTTCCGTTAAGAAATATTTCCTTGAGTTTAGTATCTTTGTTATTTTACTTCTTTCTTTTTTTTTTAAGAATAGCACTTAACATGTTTAAAAATTCACACAATTTTACCTTTGTTCCTTTTAAATGTATTTTTTTAATGGAGAATTTATAAAAAGCATAACATCAATTTATATTATTTGTACATTATTTAAATTGAGCTATTGGCAATCTATTTAGCTTTGGACATAACGTGTTGTTTTCGTGTTTTTCAGCACCAAGTCGATACCTATCATGTTGAACTATCAGTTCCCGAGGGTAACATCAGTTGTCAGTACTTCGGTGCTGACAGGATTTATAACAATCTTTTCTTAAATTTTTGCATTTATAGATTTTGAAAATATAAAGAAATTAGGTTTCAACTCCCTCAGGCAAAGTTGACCTTAGATGGATTTAGCTATATTTTTATGATCTTTTTGGTCATATCGCTCTTCAAATGTTTCGGTTCTTGTAAATCATTGGCCTTCAAATATTTGACTTTGAGCGTTCCTACTGAAGGTAAATCCAGAAAAGCGTGTCGAACGTTTGTAATTATATAACGCGTTGTTTTCATTTTTTACAGCATTGGGTCAATACCTCTGCTGGTAAACTATCAGTCCCCGAGGGTATCATTAGCTGATTAGTCAGTACTCCGGTGCTGACATATGGTTTATAACTATCCTTCTAAAATTTTCCGTTGATATATTTTGAAATTATAAAGAAACTAAGGTTTCAACTCCCTCAGGCAAAGTTGACCAAATATAGATTTGACTATGTTTTAATTTCTTTGTGGTCATGCTATAGCTTTTCAATGGTTTCGGATTTGTAAATCCTTGGCCATCGAATATTTAGCTGTGATCGTTCCTGAAGAAGGTAAAACCAGAAAAGCGATTCGGACGCCTTAAATTATATAACGTGTCGTTTTCATTTTTAATAATTTTACTTTAAGAAGTATGAAAATTCACAATAACTCAGGACCCTCGTTTTCCAGTACCTTATTTCCATTATCATGATTATATTCTTTGAAACCTAAAGTTTCGATTGCTAATTTTTCAAAACATACATGAACATGTGTTGTTAGATAAATGATTCAGATAATTCAAATTTCAAGTTTGAAGCAAAAGACTTACGAATATCTACGATATAAGACGAGAGGCATTTAAAAAAAGTATATAACGAATAGTACCTTCCTAAGCTCTAAATGCTGGCTTGGTTGAAATAACATTAACTTAAACGGGATACAAAATGGTCTTATTGTTTTGCTTGTTTTGTACAAAGAAAATGACTTACCAAGTGCCATAGTTTATACCATTCTGGATCGGCAGTTTTCAGAACTCTCGGTTGACGTACTTCCTGCTGGACAAACTCTACCTACCATGATATAGATACACAATGAAACAAAAACAACTAAATTATTTACATAGAGGTATGTTATATCAATGCAGCAATAAATGTCGTTGATTAATCTTCTATCTCCGAAATACCACAACACATTCTATATTATAATGAGTTAAGAACATACACTTGATCGGGGTTTTCCAATTGTATCAACAACACACTATTATTTCTAACTTCAGGTATGCTTAAAACAAGCACATCTAAATTAAATTAATGCATTATTGCAAAAACAATCTGTTTACCAAGTCTTTATTGTAGTATGATTAGTGTAGTGAACATCTCGTAGTAAAATTGATATAAAAGAGAGTAGAAAGACACAAAAAAAAAAAACTGACTATGCCATGATAAAAAACATAAAAGGACCAAAAGAAAGTCAACAGATAGAAAATTAAAGACGGAGTAACATAAACCCGATCAAATACCGGCTGTCAGGTATTCTGGAAAGGAACCTGAATAATGTTCACATGTGCATGATGTGGCAACCGTCGTGTGCGAAATTGTTTACGTATATAATTTCTGTCTATACTATACATAATAAGTTTGTTATTTCTACAATAAAGTTGAGATGACATGCTATAAAACACCGGGGATTTGATCTTTTGAAATGATCTTATCGTGCTGATGCTTGATAAAGGGAAAGCACACGACAAACAAATTCACATACAACATGCATTTGTAAACCAAAACTGAAAGTGATTATATTGTATCTGAAGCTCTTAACTGCATTCAACCCGAAAGTTTGAATGCGGAAAATGTGGTCATCACAGCATTAAACCAGGAGGTTTGAAATAAGAATGGAAATGTGCCCATCCCGGGTTATATCAAGTCTCATATTCACGCAACAGCATGCTATGAAAAAGGCGTCCGTTTGTGTGTGCAGAGTACATAAAAAGTGCAGCTCACGGTCACTTTACATTGCATTGACTGGTTGGGCATGAAATATATTGCCAAAGCTATGTCCTTCCCAAATTGCAAGGGGGACAACAAACTTTACGTCATATAGACGACTATGAACGAGATATCCAAAAAATTATTGGAACAACAAAATACATTTGTTGAGTACTTCTGTATAATTTTATAAAAAATAATATGGAATAAATAAATGATTGATTAAACAATACATTAACAAATAGTTGAAAAAATATATCACCTCGGTATCAAGTCGTATCTTCCTAATACCTGTGTCTTCTACTTGCTTGTTTACTTTTCTAGACAATCTATCGATATCAAATATATAGTAGAAGTTGTCACCAATCTGAAACTACAGTGCGACTGTGAAAGTTAAAACACAGTTTACATCTCAAATGCTCATAATATGTAAAATAATATTTTAACAATGTTATATCATTACAAGTACACACGACTAGCAGATTCTATAATTCCTATTGAGAATTTATCTAAGAACTAGTAAATTAAAAAGAGATCGTTTTTGGTAATCTTATAGTGTTAAGTGTCTAAAAATATGATAAAAATAAATAGAGATAAAATTGAGAATGGAAATGGGAAATATGTCAAAAAGACAAGAGACGAGATATTAACCCAGAACCAAAAACATAAATAGGATGTAAAGCTATGTACAAAGCCAGATACAACATATCTATAATTACGACTAAACTTAAGAAGTCCAAAACACACCCCAAAACAATAATATAAAACATCCAAACCAAAACTTATATCTGGTTACATATATGAACGTCAAGATTTTTAAATTAAATTAACTGCTTCACATCGACTTTAGTGCAACATAAACTGAATATATTGTTTTATATCAGGCTGAATTTTAATCCAATTACACTTTATAATTTTATCATATATTTATTATTATAATTGTAATGCTTAAAAAGACACCAACCTCTAAAATAAAGACAACTTCCCATACTTGTAAAGTAAAATAGGCCGCAAACCTCTAAAATAAAGACAACTTCCAATCCTTGTAATGTAAAACAGGCCGCATTTAGTCTTGAAAATATATTCATTATTCCCATTGAGTACATAATATATACACGATTCAACGCTATGTCGTTAAACAAACTGGGTAACACACATTAAGCTGTTTTAAAAAGGCAGGAAGAAAAATGATAAAGTTTTTCAAAAGGTAAAGATGCATTGTTGTTCCTCACCTATAACGATATCAAAGTTTCAGATTATTTCTGTTTTTTTTTTTAAATAAATGAAGATTATTTCTTAAATTGTATACAGTCCCTTTGTAGTGAATGGATGCATAACTAAAATAATTTCAAAATTATATTGATGAATGAATATGACATGAATGATTAACATATATTTTCGAAGTACTAAACTTGTGAATAAAACAACATGAGTGTTAGGCATAAACTCTGTGGTAAGTTGTTGATGTTTATTATTATTTTCTATCGTTCTATGTTAACTAAGATCATGTGTATTGTTCTTATCATTCGAAATATTTTTTATTAAATTTTAAAAACTGCCCTGTACTCTTATTTGAGGTATAACCCGTATCAACAATATTGTAAATGTGTATGGATACTATCGAGAATCCATCAAATAATTATAATAAATTATAAGTTGTTGACAAGTTAAAGAAAATGAAAAAACCTGAAAAATCCAAAGGGACTAAACGGACAATAAAACGTAAAATAAATATTTCAAGCATCCAAACATACCCGTCGGCGAAATAAATATCCGGTATATTCCAAACAGAACCGTTCAACAAAACCCTCTGTTCTCGTGGTGTTCACTATAATACGACCGGTGTACTCTACGTCACGGATAAACTTTAACTGATCGATTTGTTCTGTACGGAGACTGGAAGAGTTAATTTGTTTTGTGTATTCTTGTTCGTGTACCAATGCACATAGAATCATGTCGTAAAACTGTAAACATATTATAAATGCATATAATTTCATTTCACGTCCTTTTTGTTCAAATGATAAAATTACTTGTACCGTCAATTTAAATGATGATGATGAACCAATCCTGACTATTTTGTATTATTTTGAAATATATCTAATGAAAATAGTTTTTAAATATCTCAATTCTTCATCTATATTTCGTAACCGCAATGGAAGTTTGTAGCAACGTAAAACTTTACAAAATAAATCAGGAAGTCATGAAAGTAAAAAAACATTTAACATTTTCAAGGATAAAAACAGCACGGTGACCTTTGACAAACGAACTAAAGAAATTTGTAAACAAAAATGAAAAAGTCTGAAATCATAATCAGAACAAACAAAAAATTAATACATAAATAGATCTTCAGCAATGCTATATAAATTTAGTAGCTGTATATGGTATGATTGCCAATGAGACAACTAAGTAAAATATAAAATATAGATTGTAATCAATTAAGGTCGACTTAGAAATGTTATAACGAATACGATCGTATGATAATATGTTATGGCTTGGAATAGCAAAAGCTGAACAATTCAACAAAATTCATCATAGATACCAGGCTTGCGATATTTTACGCCAGTTGTTTGTTTTGTCTACAAAAGATTCATCGAAAACGCCCGAATAAAAAAAGGTACGAAGTTGAAGAGCAAACATAAAAACTAAAAGTCTGAATAAACATGATAAAGTAAAAAACTTTGAATAAATTTGTTACTTTGTAGTCGTCAACCAATCGACTACATGCTCCTGTTTTAGGACAGGAAAATAAGTGGATGGATTGAACATGTTTGTCAGCTCTCACTTCCTCCTTACCTAAGACAGTTGCTCAACAACGCATAATTATTTTAATATAACTTCTGCATTAAACGCCAAGTTATAGCACGGTGTTGACTTTCATTAACACATGAATACATTTTGGTTACTAGAGTATACTAATACGACTGGGTATAATTTGTGTTTTGAATCAAGTAAAATTTTTTAAACATACCAACTTGCAAGGACGAAAGTATACACATGAAAAAGCACCAACCACCAGCTAAACATTCGTACAATTTGGATTTACTTTTCTTAACTGCAAAATATTGTAGTGTAACAAAACAAGATATCAAAGAGGGGCGAAAGATACCAGAGGGACAGTCAAATATTTAGTTGTCAATTTGAACTAAATAATTATTAATGATTCAAATTGTAATGTCTCATTAAAAGGTTCATCTTTTTGAAAAGACTTCCTGTTCAACCATTCTTGGTGTATGAAATTCTTATTCCGTTAATTTAGTTCAAAACAAAAGTGCGGTAATAATATAATCATGATAATTGTATCACGAAAATATCTAAAATCTGGTGCTGATTTTCATAAAGATTATACATAATGATCATGATAGAGTTATTCTTTATTGCAAATGTAATTGCCAAAAAAATTATAAGCATTAATTCAGGCTTTTCTGGAGAACGACATCCGTGAAAAACCATTTCGAAACAAGGTCATTGTACCCGTATACCTTTTAGTGTGCAGTGACTTGGAATAGTGTAAACAAACAAACCTTAGTTAATAGTACACATTACGTTTTATGTGTTAAAATCAGAAACAGATATATAGGGCGTTTATCAAATTTGTAAATAATCACCTGTGGAAAACCACTTCCCTATAAGAGTTTCACAATACTTTGAATAATTTGCACATACAAGTATGGGTAAAGATTTAAAAATATAGACATTATGCACCCATTTATACGTAAAGATTTTAAATGTCCACAGCTTTCTATTCTACATAGCTTGAAGGTGTGTTTGTTTTTCATCCAAAATAAGATTAAGGTTCATATTTGATATTATGCTCTTTGTACATTTATTTCATATATAAATTATCTGTTTTTATTTATAAGTAAGAAAATCCGATTAACAATGCAATATACTTAAATGATTGTATGTCTCGTGGACATTATAAAGAATATAATAACTTTACACGTTTCGTTTAGTAGAAAGTAATGACAAGATAGCATATTATGCAATAAAAAATCGAAAAATACCAGAGGGAAATTCAAAAGTCGAAAATAACAGACAGACAAACAAAAGTACACAAAACACAACATAGGAAACTACACACTGAGCAACACGAACCCCAACAAAAACTATGGGTGATCTCAGGTGCTCTGTAAGGGTAAGCTGATCCTGCTCCACATGTAGCACCCGTCGTGTTACTCATATTATTAAACCCGCGGGTAATACATCTTATTGGGTAGGTAATATTCGGGTAAGGGGACAGAATTACAGTTATGACATTACGAACATATTCGTTATCATTTGTGAAACTGATAATCAATAACGGTCAAACAACCCGTGATGACGTACGTTAGACTTACGAAGAGATGATTTAAACTTCACCATTTGGAACTCTTACTAAAAGAGTTAAATGTGAATACAGTTGTTTTTGTTTATACTAGAGGCGTGAATTATCACAGGAAATAGGAGAATAAGCATCGCCAAAATTGATATGCCCTTTGACCCGGATACAATGAAATTTCTCATGCGGACTCCTTTTACGGCTAAAACTGTAACACTTTAACTATGAAGTTTTAAAAATAAAATGAATCCTAGAAAGGTAAGTTCATATGCACTACTCCTTTAAGGGCTGTGTGGCATAGTTTTGACATTTATATGCCCCGAACTTCTAAGAGCTAAAACTTATATTAAAATTCTGTACCACCCCTACCTTCACTTTAAATGTTTTGCTATCAATTATTTTCATTTAAAAGTAATACGGTTAATTGCCATCATGGATAAGAATCATAACTAGGTGCGCCAGCCGCGTATATTCTCCTGAAGTAACCCTTCACTCAAATCAGTAGCAAGGCAAAACAATGTGTTTATGCTTGGTCAAAGTCAGAAGTCGGGAGTTCTATGGTTGTTGTTTGTTGATGTATATTACTTTTTTAAAATATTGTTTTGTTTAGGTCTCTGATGGAGAGTTGTTAAGATGGCATTCATACTACATCTTCTTAATTATCTTAATCTATTATCCAAATTTGAATCGGCAAATACACTAAGTGAACAGTTTGTATGTTTAAAACGAGTCGTATTATGTTTTCAATCTTAAACAAGGCGTATTTAATGTTTTTTAATGAATATAACATATTATTAATAATATCATGAATATGGGTAACTAGATATTTTTATATAAAACTAATTACAAGAAAACAAAAAAACAGTACACATTACGTTAACAACAGAAACACTGAAGTGCAACAAAAAACCAAAACGACAATTCAACACACACAGAAACGAACTATAAGATAACAACTGCCTTTTTCCTGACTTGGTACAGGACATTTTAATAAAAAATGGTTGGTTGAACCTAGTTTTACGGCTAGCCAAACCTCCCGCTTTTATGACATTGTTAA